ATGTACGAGGTGTGTTCAGAAAATATATATATATAGGGAATTTTCGTTTTTTGAAACAAATATTTATTTATTCGTCTACATTAATGTTGTCGCCTTCAAAATAGTCCCAATTGGATATTATGCACATGTGCCAGCTCTTCTTCCAATACTCGAAACACTTCTAAAACTCGATCTTTGGGATAGCCTTTTGTTCTTTCAGCGATGCGCTTTTAATGTCATCTATGCTTGCAAAACGACGGCCCTTTAAGGTTCTCTTTATTTTTGGGAATAGGAAAAAGTCAGACAGAGGCATGTCTGGCGAATATGGAGGCTGGGGCATCATTACAGTATTGTTTTTGGCCAAAAATGTTGTTCAAAATTTAACAATTTTAGAACAAATTTTTCTGCCACGCGTTTCATACCCAAAACATTCGAAAAAATTTCATGGGATGAGCCAATCGATATACCAACATCATCAGCGACTTCTCTGATGGTTTATAACCATTTCTTTCACTTTTTCCATGTTTTTATCGGTTGTTAATGTGCTTGTGCGTTCGTCATCTTCAACGTCATCACGGCCATCTTGGAAACTCGTATACCACTTGTAAACTCTTGTTTTACTTATAGCAGACTCAATATAGGTCTTTGTTAACATTTCACAGAATTTATTTCATTTTTTAAGCAAAATTGGATACAAATTCTTTGATCCATTTCTTTTAACGAACGAAAAATCGCCGAGCTCATAAAACACGTCTAACCTTACCGGTGCCACAGACAAAGTAAACAATGAAAACAGCTAAAGTTTTTATCATACTTCGGGGGCATGTATACCAACATAATAAAGAAAATTTTATAACAACCGGACCCTCCGAACCCGCGAAATTTAACAATTCCCGTTATTTTCTGAACACACCTCGTAGCTCTGCTTCTGCTTCCGCAACTGCGGAAGTTCCGCAAACTACATCGCATTTTCTTAGTTACATTAATTAGTTATAACAAAATTGATATTTTTCCACTTCCGCATCAGTTCCGCATCCGCAAAAATTTTTAAGTATTATAATTGTTGGTTAATATTTGGGAAAAAATTTGCGCCTACGCCAATGTGTCGGACCCTCTTCAACAGTCCCGACCGGCGTTTGTTTATTTATTTAGCGAATAAACAATTGCCGCTAATAATTAGACCTTCCTCTCGTCAAGTGTACCTAGCAAACAATCACAAACAAAAACTCTCATTAAAAATTTAGATCGCATCGACCGTAAACGGCAATTGTTTGCGACGCGTTCGATGGTCGATTGTTTTAGTGTCGAAACAGCGGTTAGCGTGCTCTGTACGCGTTTCATTTGTTTTTATCTTATCGAGTATGTGGAACAAGTCAACAGATTTTGTTTGAAATGCGTTTTAAATGGTGCAAAGTGGCTTTCGAGTAACGAGACAGTAATTAGGAGTTATCGGTGTGGAAAGTGAGTTTTTTCGGGACATGCACGTGCGAAAATGATTGAGAGACATAAGTTAACTGATGAGTTACTAAAGGAGTTTGAGGTACATATTTCAGGAGTAAAATTTAAAAATTTGCTTATAACATTTTAAAATTACAATAATTGTAGGTACACATTATTATTTGTTTATGTATATTTAAAGTTGATTATAATTATAAATAGAAAACAATTTACGATAAAAATTATTCTGTATTCCAATGATTTTAATGTTGAAATTATTTTATTATCTTAATACATAAAAACAACATTATTAAAAAGTTCTTTGCATTAAAAATTTTGTGGAGTACCCATAAAAAAATCCTCTTCACTTTTACTGTGAATAACTGGTTCTGGAAATTTTGATTTTTACAGAACATTTTTTTTTAAATTAACTAGTACCTAATAAGTTATTTTTTATACGAATACTTGTGGTAGAGAAAGTATAGTATGAACTTTTCTAGCCACTCATTTTATTAAACACTCGCTCGTGCCAAATTAAAATTCGTGCCAAGCCAATTTTATTTAACCACTTTTTTTCCAATTTTTAATAAAGCTAACTTCAGCCCGTTACTAAAAAGCACAAAAGTCACTGTTGCTAACTTCAGCCCATGACTAAAACGCCATAAAGTCTCAACTTTTCAATGTGGAAGTAGATAAAAAATATTCCAAATGTTCAGTAATCGATATGCGTTAAAATTTCATACCCTGTCTATAAAACAGATTTTTAATTCTCTATTTTGTTATAAATTAATTTTTCTACTCCCACTTTTAAATCGTAGATGTTTCCATGACACTAAGTGACCTTTTAAATACACATTGACAAGTTGTGGCTTTATGTCGCTTTAGTCACGGGCTGAAGATAGCAACAGGTTTTTAGTCACGGCCTGAAGTTAGTGTTAAGGTAGTTGACAAGTCAAATGCCATACAATCGTTAAAATACGGTGCCTTTCTTGTAAAATAATACGAAATGTGAAAATTATTTTATTATCTCAATACAAAAATACAAAATTATTAAATAGTTTCTCAACGCCAATATTTGAAAAGTTTATATGAACATTGTACTGACCTTTTAATTTCGCCGGCAGTAAACTATAACTTAAATTCGGGCACGGACTCCACTGTAAAGTCCTCATAAAACATTTTTTTTTACTTACACTGTGAAAAACTGTCAATTTTCAAGAAATACATTTCGATTTATAACCTTTATAATCTGTGTTTATAAAATATAAAAATGTGACATTTGACGGAGGGGGACACAGATTCCCCTATTGTTTCATAGATGGCGCTCTATACAAATTTTTGATTTAAATCATTTTAAGATAATAATAGGTATTTGTCGTAAGTAATATCATAAGGGCATCTAATTTTTCCGAAAAAAATCGAAAAAACACGTTGGTAAGTAATATTTTAACAAGAAGCATGAGTGCTGGTGGCAACAAAAATCCGAGTCGAAGAGGAGGATTTTTGCACCTGCACGAATGCATTTTGTTAAAAAATATTACTTAGCATTGTGTTTTTTCGATTTTTTTCACAGAAAAAATTAGATGCCCGAATGGTATTTGACAAGACTATTTCATGAGTAATAGTTAAGAATTAAAATATAAATTGCAATTTTTGGTGACAACAGCTGTCAAGTTTTGCCGCGGGTAGACTCGAAAAAACTGCTGACAGGTGCTGTCACACAGTTTTTTCACCTAGAAACCATTTGTAATTCAAAATTGCGCGTTTGTGATTGGTGGAAATTAAGACGAGGGAAATAGTCGTAGAAAAAGTATAGTATGCACCTCGTTTATAAACTTTTCTATACACTCATCAATTTAAGCACTCGCTCGCAAGCTCGTGCCTAAATTAAATTCGTGTATAAAATGACGTTTATCAAACTTGATACATAATATACTATTATCGTACTGTGTAATATGATAATTTTTGGGAACCAATCTTATATGATTAAAAACTAAACTAAAATACTATGTAACATTTTATTGACTATAGATATTGCTTTAAAACACTTAAAAATTTGACATATTTTCTAAAGATTCTAATTTTTATTTGTTTGTAATTACATAATTAAAAAATATTAGTTAATAAAGCAACTACAATTTAAGTGATGTAATAACAAGATCAAAAACCTTGTCTAGGTTAATACACCTTACAAATATTTGGGTTAAATATTAAATATTACAAATTTTGTGAGTAAACGTTACCTAAATTTTACCTAATTATACTTAAAATTAAAAATCGTGTTTATTATGAAATTTCTAAAAATATTTCATTTGTCCTAGTAATTCTATTATTAGTTACTTTATGTCAATTGTACAAGTTAATAATAAAATATTGTGTACCGAGTGTTTCTCGAACAATGGATTGAAGATGAGCTTTGGCCGGCGATTCTCCAGATTTAACTCTTCTAGACTTTTTCCTGTTTTATATTTAGAAAAAGTTTTTGAGGTTTAGGTCCCGAAATATTTCCTGTTCTCTCTATTGTTTTATAGTGAAAATGATTATTTTTTTATTTTTGGTTGTTTCACTGTTAGTCCAGAATTGGGTTTTTGGGAAGCCACCAGGTCTAGTAATAACATATTTTAAGAAATCATAAATTTTGAATATTAGATCTTCACGGAAGATAGCTTCACGGAGGTTAGGATTTCGTATGTTTTTTTTAAAATATACCTTTGTATATTTGAAATAAGTTATTGTATCTTTTGACACCTTAATATTTTTTAAAAATACAATAATTGTACATACATACACTTCACGGTGGATAGGTTTTTAAATAGCAAACTTTTGAATTATAAAACAGCAACACTCTCATCTGCATATAAATTTTAACTGACCTTCAGGAATCACATGCATCCATAATGTCGTAAACAGAGGTTTTTGCTTATTTAAAATGATTAAAGCGCCATCCGTTGCATAAAATTTAAAGCAAAAACAGATTCACGGAGGATAGAATCAATTTTTGTAACACCTACATAAATGGTTATAAAAATTATTTCTTTTAATTTTTAATAATATTTTATATTTGATTCGATTGTTGTGGATGTGTTTAATTTACTTAGTGAACTGATATTTTTGGTATGCTTTTACTACCTGAGATATTTGAAAACATATATAGGTTAACCTAGAAAGAGTAACAGTCACGGAGGATAGGTTATAGAACCTGAGCTGCAATATTTACTTAATTATGAAAGTTGAAACTCATTTATAAAACGTAATACATAATATTCTATTAAATATGTGTCGACGCCAAAAAGGTATTTGCATTTTATAATATCTATTATAATATAAAACCACAATTTAATCTTACCACAAAATTTGTATACCATTTGCCTAATGTATTGTTAGTATAATTCAGTATTTTACTATTTATGGTGGTTATGCGCTGTTTGATTGATTTTCCTTTAGTAGCAAAAACATACAAAAATGTCCTATAATAGGGATAATTTATCGAACACATTCATAGAAGAATTAAAAAAGAAAATTGTAAAATATTAAAAATGATTTTGTCGTGCTTATTACTAAACTTGAATTAACTTTTGTTCCAGGAACTACTAAAAAACTGTTCCCATAACGAAGACAGGCCTTCTGGCAATTTGTGCCCGTCATTTCCAAATTCAGAAGGCGTTGAAGTGAGGCACAGTCATGACAGAGCCCCTAGACCCAGGACATTCCAAAGTTCACAAAGGTGAGTCCATAAATCTGCTGACCACTACAATTTTCAACCATAAATTGTGTCAAAAAAGGCCTGTGCCGATCTTGCTATCATATCCGGGTGATTTCGGGTTTCAACTGCCGCTGTGGTACACTAAAGTGTTTATGTATCCCCAGAGAACCACCATATCCCATTATATATTTTACATTTGGTGTTTTGACGTTTTTGAGTGTAGCTTGAAATCTAATTGATGGATTTGGTCAAACAAGCCTTTAAATTGAAGGTATTTGAGCCCTCTAAAACTTTCTTTTACATACTTTTGATATCGGATAAGTATTTTGACGCTAGCGATTTTAATAACTTAAAAAATTCGTTTTTATGCCAAAAATTGAGGTCGAAAATTTACATATCGTCCTGGGAAGGGTTTAAATCAAACAGATAACTCCAGTTTAATTTTTTTTTCGTGAAGCTGACATTTTTTCAAAATAAACAAGCTAATGTTGATAAAAATACATGGAAAAATGGCGAAGTTATGAATTTTTTAGTGGAAGACCAAAATTCAGCTTTTTGACGATTTTTATTTTATTTTGTTCTTTTATTTTGTAAAATGTTTATTTTTTAATGAAAACCTAAGTATAAGTAAAGTGCATGATTGGAATTTTTGAGTTTTTTACGTACATTATTCAAAATTTAAATTTGACATGACTCCGCAAACGTGAATTCTTTTGTTTCTCGTGTTGGCATAGTGACATTTTACTGCTATTTTTTGATATTTCAACAAGGTATTTTTATCATGGTTTTATTTAGTTAATAAAAAGTGTAAAATGAATAAAAGAAGTAGACAGTTCGAGTGACCGTTGACTTTGGGGGCCCTGGGCTAAAAATCTTTGTGGGCCTATCAATAATTATATATGTACAGACAACAAAACAACAAATTCTTACGTCAAAAATTAAAAAACAAGAACAAAAACTACACTTATTCTTGATAAAATTATTGAATAACTTAAATAAACCATTCTAGCTACAAGGTGTCGGGATAAGACCGGTACAATGCAATGCCACATGCTAGCGGCCTTTATAATATGTAAAAAAGATTATTTTATACTGCAGTATATAAATCGACTATTTTTTTTTCTATAAAATTTAATAGCCTCATAAGTCTGTTAAAATATCACCAATTAATATTATTGGTTGCTATTTGCGATTTTACATTTAAAGTAGGTACATTTTTTTATTTTAGAGTTATTTAACTTGTTAACGGATTAATGGATGATTAGAACTTTTATTTTAGAAAATTAAACGCTCCACAATAAAGTTTACGTATTATTTAATGATAATTCTACTCGTTTAAAAAATATTTAAGACAAAATCATAGCAAATTTTATGTTTTTCTTACTTTCCCGGAAAAAGTTGACAATGATCATACATTTTTTGTAGATCATTTTATTTTCCATAAAAATATGTCATTATTTTTTTAATGGTTTAACCAGTAAAATACAAATATTTTTTGAAATAAAATTGATATTTTTTTAAAATTAATTAGTAATTAAACAGAAATATTAATTTGGTTTAAAAAATTACACAATTTTTTGAAACATAAAATGATCTAACAAAGTCCCGTTTTGTTATTAGTCTGATAGTTTTAACCACAGACAAACATCCACTAACATTGAACGTTGGTCTCTCAGATTTTAAAGTGGTTTACCCCTCGGTTTTAACGGAGAAGTAAGAAAAACTTTAAATTTATCATAAATGTAATTTTAAGCTTAAATAATTTGAACAAGTAGATTTATTAAAAATAATAAGAGACCTTTTTGTTAAGCGTTTACTTTGAATAATTTATAAGAATAATATTTTTAAAATATGTTGTTTTCATTTAAGTTCATTAATCCGTTAAAAAGATATATAATTTCAAAGTTTTTTTTTTCATGCTATTTAAATCAAAAATAGAAAATCGCAATGAATAGTAATATTAAGAACTTAAATTTTAACAGGCTCAATATTTTACCTTTATGCAACTATTAAATAGTCTGATTTATATATTTAAAATTTGCATCGCGTTGTGGGCCCTCGATCGGACTGGGCCCTGGGCTGCAGCCCATAATGCCCATGCCTAAATCCGCCCATGCGTAAATAACCCGGGCAATCTGGGCGACGTAAGTGATGAGCACGGAGAACGTTTTCACCAGCAAATGAAGGCTATGGAGCGGCGGTATCACGGCTTCTGGGATGCAGCCATGATGGGTGATTACATTTGGTCCCTCATACGAGAAACGGAATACGAAAGCAACAAAAAACAAAGAAGGAGCCAGAATTTTTTGAAACCTATGCTTATTAAAACAAAATAAAACTTTCAATATCTTCAATGTTCAATATTCAATATATAATTTAATTTCAATTTTTAATGTTTAAAATAAAAATCAATGTTTAATATTAAATTTTATACAATTCAATAAAATGAAGAAAAAAGGTAAAAATTCTCGAAAAACTGAATTTTGCTCTTCCACTGAAAAATTCATAACTTCGCCATTTATCCATGGATTTTTATCAGCAGCAGCTTATTTTTTTCCCTTAAGTATAATCTATACGTAAAATAAATTAAACTGGACTTATTTTTTCGATTTCTTTTTTTCCCATATAGATATGTAAATTTTCGACCTCGATTTTTGTAAAAAAAGGACTTTTTCAATTTCATAAAATCGCCAGTATCGAACTACTGAGCCGATACCAAAACTATACGAAAGAAAGTTGTAGAAGGCTCAAATACCTTTGATTTAAGTGCTTGTCAAATCGATTAATTAGAACTCGAAGTATCCTCTAAAACGTCAAAACACCTCAGAAAATTTAAAAAAACAATTGAAAATTCATATCTCGAAAAGGCGCAAAGCAGAGGAACTTTCTCTTATAATCTTTTATTTATTTTAGAACTGGCGAAGAAGAAATATTCATAAAAGAAAACGAAGTTTTTAGATTTAAAGATAACTCCCTAACTATAAAAAATGTAAGTATTATTAAGTATTATAAATACGAGGTGTGTTCAGAAAATATCGGGAATTTTCGTTTTTTGAAACAAATATTTATTTATTCGTCTACATTAATGTTGTCGCCTTCAAAATGGTCCCCATTGGATATTATGCACATGTGCCAGCTCTTCTTCCAATACTCGAAACACTTCTAAAACTCGATCTTTGGAATAGCCTTTAGTTCTTTCAGCGATGCGCTTTTAATGTCATCTATGCTTGCAAAACGACGGCCCTTTAAGGTTCTCTTTATTTTTGGGAATAGGAAAAAGTCAGACAGAGGCATGTCTGGCGAATATGGAGGCTGGGGCATCATTACAGTATTGTTTTTGGCCATAAATTTTGTTCAAAATTTAACAATTTTAGAACAAATTTTGCTGCCACGCGTTTTATACACAAAACATTCGAAAAAATTTCATGGGATGAGCCAATCGATATACCAACATCATCAGCGACTTCTCTGATGGTTTATAACCATTTCTTTCACTTTTTCCATGTTTTTATCGGTTGTTAATGTGCTTGTGCGTTCGGGGCGTTCGTCATCTTCAACGTCTTCACGGCCATCTTGGAAACTCTTATACCACTTGTAAACTCTTGTTTTACTTATAGCGGACTCACTATAGGCCTTTGTTAACATTTCACAGAATTTATTTCATTTTTTAAGCAAAATTGGGTACAAATTCTTTGATCCATTTCTTTTAACGAACGAAAAATCGCCGAGCTCATAAAACCCGTCTAACCTTACCGGCTGCCACAGACAAAGTAAACAATGAAAACAGCTAAAGTTTTTATCATACTTCGGGGGCATGTATACCAATATAATAAAGAAAATTTTATGACAACCGTGCCCTCTGAACCCGCGAAATTTTAGAAATCCCGTTATTTTCTGAACACCTCGTTTTTCACAATTTAATTGAAACGTGTTTATACTCTTAAAATTGTTCTTATCGTTTAATTGTAGATGAAATATACTTTGAAAGACATCGAACGGTTCGTTGAAGAGACGTCGAAAACGTTTTGCATCGATACTTTTGGCAAAAAATATCGAATATGCTTCGATAGCGAGAAACAGGCGAGGCAATTCAAATCGGAATTCGAAAGAAACACAAATGTCGAAAAAACGACCGGAATTCTAACGAAATTCTTCAAGAAGAGGGTCAGCAAGGAAATTCTGGAGAACAAAGGTACAGTTACTTTGGTGTAATTTTTTTTGATGATTCGTATTAATATATATAGGGTTATCGGACACTTTATAGTTATTGGACAATTAACATGAATACTGTAAAAACAAGAGTTCTATAAATAGTTACCTTAAAGTCAAATCATTAGATGACGCTGTATACAATTACAAATATCTCAGTCGGTAATAATATAGAACTACTTTATTTTGAGTCCAATATAGGACAAAATAGTTCGCACGTTACTTTGGTGGTAAGATTTTTGTTTTTTTTGTTAAGAGCAGGGCTGTGTTTAAATTACAATAAAAAATATTTCCAAAAAGTGTACAGATCAGTGTGTGGTATAAATGTGTTCCTCATGGTTTAAACATTGTCACTTTAATGCGTTTTAATTTTAATTCTGAAAACAAACAGTAAAATGCCCAGTGTCCAATTACTGGTTGGTAAAAATGTAAATTTCTATTATTGGACAAATGTCCAATTTATACTCTATTTATATCCCGGACATTTACCAGCCAATTCTTATGTAAAATTGTCCCCTGAATCCGAAAAAACCGCCAAAAACTATAAAAGTTAAGCAGTTTTTGAGATATAGTCAATTCCATTTTATATATAAAATTGATTATATTTCAAAAACTGTTCTACTTTTATACCTTTTGACGACATTTTCGGATTCAGCGAATAATATTTTATAGGAATTGACTGCTAAATGTCCTGGATATAAATTGCGGTTGACGAGAATTATTAGTGGCGGCTTTTTCGCTATGACATTTTTGGCTAATTCATTTTTAGAAAGTAAGTAATATAGCGATTTCCTCGTCACAGGACATCTTGCAGAATAACAGTGATTTAAATACAGTGCATGATAGAAAACATAAAAAACTAATGGCAACAAAATTAATAAATTCTGATAATACTTTTAACATACCACCCGAAAAAATATTAGATATATATAAATCATCCTGTTCCGGCTTAAACATTATAAATGCTTCACAAACTAGAGATACCACACTTAATGATATTTGCAACAAACTAATTTCAAAAGTCGGACCAAGGAATTAGTAGTTACCTTCAGAATCCAGAAAAGGGATGAGGAATCCGAGAAAGAAATATATGAATTATATGATATTTACAAAAACGAAATAAAAAAAAATTACCTATAACAGCAATTTATCTTTAAAAAATATTTAAAAATTTTTGCTATTTGATGTAAAGTTGTTAGGTTTATATAAAAATTGTATGTCCAATAACTATGGTCCATGTGTCCAATTACTTTATAAAATGTCCAATTACTATACTTTTTTTGCTTGTTTTTATAATTATAATTATTTTTAAGTAAACGTAAATAAAGTTTAAACAAACAAACTATCCTTTTCATATATTTATAAGAAAAAAACTAAAATCTTTAAAACAACGGCATATATAAATTTTAAATAAATAATATTCCTTTAGTGTCTAATAACTATGTGGTTTACCCCTGATAGCAAAATTTGATTTTAAGAATCTTCTAAGAAGATATGACGCGGAATAATGGAATATTCTTAGAACCTTTCCTTATTGCTAAGAACGTTCTTAGGGACTTTTAAAACATTCAATAGATACCCTTTTAATGATGCAATTAGATTTTTAAAAGCTTCTTAAAACCTTCCTAAAAAGCATCCTAAGAACATTTTAAGAATACGTTTTTGGAATGTTCTTAGAAGGTTTCTTATGGAGCTTTTGAGAATATTTACAAATATGTCAGATAGCCACGTTCTAATATGTTGTATTCTACATTCGTAAAATTCTTCAGGAGACGACAAATACGCCTCACTGTCATAATATGACAGTGAAATGTATTTGTCGTCCCCTTAAAAAATGTTGCGATATTATTGTAGATTTATTTAAAAATATTAAATAAACAATTTGATATCTAAACCATAAGTTGTATGGCATTATTTCATAAAAAGTAAAATTGGAAAATTTTGTGGGATAAGTCAGATTAGATTGAAGTTGAAGAGGATTATTATACATAAGTAGACTAATTTTTACCACTAAAACTTTGCACCTTCTAAGAACCTGCCTATAGGCCAGTAAGAATATTCTTAGGATCATGCTATATGTCTTTTAAGCATGTTCTTTAGAAGAAATATAGCATGATCCTAAGAATATTCTCTCTGGAAGGTTTAAAAAACATTCTTAGAATAAAGTGTGCTATCAGGGACCCTACTATAAATTTTATTATATAAATGACATACTTTTAGGTATATTTAGAAACGAGGCCGTCTACGGAAACTCCCTAGAGGTCCTATACATGGTTTACAATGACATTCCCGAGTTCATTTACGAAATTATTCGGCTAATAGAACTTCCGGAAAACATCAAGAGCCAGGGACTGTACCGGACGCCGGGAAATCTGGCAACGATGCAGAAAATACGGCTGGAAATCGACAAGAACAATCTTGCGATTTTGAGGCAGTACGAAAAAGATGTAGATGTTTTGGCAGGAGCTTTGAAATTGTTTTTCCGAGAGATGAAGGAACCGCTGCTGTTGGAGGGGATTGTCGATAAAATTTTGAGGATTTTAAGTAAGTTTTTGTTTGTTTTTTTATGAGTTGCCGTTCAGTAAAAATACCGTAAAGTTGAGTTGTCAAAATTCCTTGTTAAAAATGCAATTAATTTGGCTTTGGTGGTGCGTAGATGAGTAAAATCATTTAAAAAAGTAGTTAAATATAGGTGACTACGGCCCAGGAGAGATAAAGTGTTCCTTGCGGATAATAATCTTTGCTTTGAAAAGAATTTATATAAAAGAAATTAAAATTTTATGTGAACACACGTGCATGTTGTCCAATCATTGGACTACAATGGTGAATGGGTATTTTGTTAAAGCCACTGGACGTTAATGCTTGTAGTGGCTTAATAATAATTATAATGTATATATTGTCCAGGACTATTAATGATCAGTAACTTGAAAATTGAAAGAAGAAAAAGTTTCGTGATTATTGCTTATCTTTTTCAAACCAAATGGATGATATTTTTAAAGACAGAAAAATAACTACTAGATTTTTTACCAAAAGGTTAAACCTAACAGCAAATAATTTTTATTTTTTGGTTTTTTATTTCCCTCTTATTTTTTTAAATTTCAAAATTTTTTGATCTCCTTAGCTAAAAATGATGTGTGATTTAATATTTATAAAACCAAAAACGCCACTTTTTTACTCCAAAAATGTCCATAAGGCTCCACACCTCAAAGTCCCACCACGTGACCACGTACGGAACGCATGCAGTCTTTTGAAAATTTGGCATTTAAGGCATTTCAGGTTATGTATCTGTCAAAGTATAGTCAACGAAAGAAATAATATTTATAGTGTTACCGCTTATGTTTAAGCGTTAAAAATTAATAAATCTTTATAGTATCACAATAACAATGGTTGGTTTAAGAATTTAGGAATATAAATACTGCATTTAATGAAATTCCAGTAAGTGATATTTTTGTGCATTGGGTATACATTTCTCCTTAAAATAGTTTTAACTAAACAGCATTTATTAAAAAAATCTAACTTCTCTATTATGAAATAAGAATATCTGTATCAAAGGTAGGTTAATGTATTAGAACAAAAAATATCATCTAATTTTGTATTTTAAGGTTAGAAAAATCTATTTTGACCAAAATAAATAAGTGGATTATTTAGAAGAGTGGGTTAATATGGTCATAAATAAATATAGGTATACTAAATAATTATTGAATATGGTTCAAATTAAATTGAAGCTTTTATACTTCTAATGACAAAACTTGTGCATACCTCTCGGCATACCTACTTTAAGTTAGATTATAAGAAAACAAAAATTTTTTAGAGAAACTTGCAATGTGAAAATATTTAATACTCCCATGACATGTGATTTATTAAAATTTTTAAAGTTATAATGATTTTTCGATGTAGATCAAGTTCAGTCAAAGCTTTTTAACTATTTGTATTGACAAAACTTTATGTAGGTACACTTTAAGCTGGATAAGAAAAAATACCACATTTTTAAATACCATATTATTTTGGTCAAAATAAATTTTTCTAACCTTTAAATTACAAAATTAGATGATATTTTTGTTATAATATATTAACCTACATTTAAAATAGATATTCTTATTCCATAATAGAGAAGCTAGATTTTTTTTAATAAATGCTGTTTAGTTAAAATTATTTTATGGCACCATACATTTTAGAATTTCCTTAAATGCAGTATTTATATTCTTAAATTCTTAAACCATCCATTGTTATTGTAATGTTATAAAGATTTATACATTTTTAACGCCTAAACATAATATTATTTCTTTCGTTGACTATACTTTGACAGATACATAACTTAAAAAGCCTTAAATGCCAAATTTTCAAAAGACTGCGTTCCGTACGTGGTCAGGTGGTGGGACTTTGAGGTGTGGAGCATAGTACTTTTTCTGCCATTGAGGCATTTGTCATAACTTTATCGAAATGAAGTTTTGCTCTTAAAAGTTCTGGGACACCCTGTACATTTAAAAGCATTTTTGAGACAAATCCAACGATATAAAAAATCAATTTCCATAAAAAAAAATTTTTCTTCAGAGAAGAACAATCTAGCCGACAGAGAGGCCCTGAGACCGATCCTTGGGGAACTCCCTGCTGCCCACAAGCAAGCGTTGTACGTGCTGATCACTCATTTGCTCACCATTTTGGACTACAAATCGGAAAACAAGATGGACGCCTACAATCTGAGCGTGTGCTGGGGCCAAACTGTGATATTCTATTCCGATTCCAAAGATCTTTTGCAAAAATCATCCGAAGCCGTTTCCGTGCTCGAGTTCATATTGAATTACTACAATGAGCACAGGGATGCTTTGAAATATTTGCAGCAGAATGTTAAGAAGGTAAGTTATACATACCGTATTCAACATACTTTGATGCGGAACGCAGTCTTTTGAAAACTTGGAATTTAAGACATTTTAGGTTATGTAACTAGTCGACGAAATAAATTTTTATTAATGTAAAGTGATATTTTCTTTTTAATGTTTCAGACTGAACCAACCAAAATCCAAAGACATGATTCCAAAGATAGTATAGGAAGCAACGATAAAAAGAAAGGTAAATTGTATTTTAACCCACTAAAAACGAAAATCACACTCAATTTTTTTTCCATGGAAGCGTTTTGGAATATGAATTTTCAATTGTTTTTTTTTTCAATTTTCGGAGTTTTGACATTTTTGAGTATAGCTTGAAATCTAATTGATCGATTTGGTCAAACAAGCACTTAAATTGAAGGTATTTAGCCCTCTAAAACTTTCTTTTACATACTTTTAATATCGGATAAGTATTTTGACGCTAGCGATTTTAATAACTTAAAAAATTCGTTTTTATGGCAAAAATTGAGGTCGAAAATTTACATATCGTCCTGGGAAAGGTTTAAATCAAACAGATAACTCCAGTTTGAATTTTTTTTCGTGAAGCTGACATTTTTACAAAAAAAAAACAAGCTAATGTTGATAAAAATACATGGAAAAATGGCGAAGTTATGAATTTTTTAGTGGAAGACCAAAATTCGGCTTTTGGACGATTTTTATTTTATTTTTTTTCTTTTATTTTGTAATATGTTTATTTTTTAATGAAAACCTAACTTTTTTCACCGAAAACATTATTCAAAATTTAAATTTGACATGACTTCGCAAACGTGAATTCTTTTGTTTCTCGTGTTGGCATAGTGACATTTTACTGCTATTTTTTGATATTTCATCAAGGTATTTTTATCATGGTTTTATTTAGTTAATAAAAAGTGTAAAATAAGTAAAAGAAGTAAAGAGTTCGGGTGCGTAAATAACCCGGACAATCTGGGCGACGTAAGTGATGAGCACGGAGAACTTTTTCACCAGCAAATGAAGGCTATGGAGCGGTGGTATCACGGCTTCTGGGATGCAGCCATGATGGGTGATTACCTTAGGTCCCTCATACGAGAAACGGAATACGAAAGCAACAAAAAGCAAAGAAGGAGCCAGATTTTTTTAAACCTATGCTTATTACAACAAAATAAAACTTTCAATAGCTTCAATGTTCAATATTTATTGTTCAATATTCAATATATAATTTAATTTCATTATTTAATGTTTCAAATAAAATCAATGTTCAAAAATAAATTTTAAAAAGTTTAATAAAATGAAGAAAAAACGTAAAAATTCTCGAAAAACTGAATTTTGGTCTTCCACTGAAAAATTCATAACTTCGCCATTTATCCATGGATTTTTATCAGCAGCAGCTTATTTTTTCCTTTAAGTATAATCTATACGTAAAATAAATCAAACTGGACTTATCTTTTCGATTTCTATCTTTCCTAGAAAGACATGTAAATTTTCGACCTCGATTTTTGTAAAAAAGGACTTTTTCAACTTCATAAAATCGCCAGTATCGAACTACTGAGCCGATACCAAAACTATACAAGAGAAAATTGTAGAGGGCTCAATATCATATCTCGAAAACGCTTTTATGAAAAAAAATTTAAGTGTGATTTTCGCGTTTAGTGAGCCAAACTACACAAGAAAATCATAGTGAGATATGGTGGGCAAAATAGCTGTAAACTAGTGTAATTGACAAGGATTCTTTAAACAATGCTTTAAGATTCCAAAAAATAAATAACTCAAAAACTATTCACTTCAGGTATCTATACCTATAGGACAAGGTATACTTAGAAATTTTATGTAAAAATATATGGGGTGTACTATTTGATAAAAATACCCATTTTTGTTCAATGGCAAACTAGTACATATTTCACTTTTTTTTTAAATATTTAAATAAAAAAATTTGTTATAGATAAAGAGGACCAAATATGTTGCATGCTTAGCAACCTTTTAGTTGAAGTACACAAACATATTAAAGAAAACGGTCTATATTTCAAAAACGGATCGACCACCAAGGTGGAGAAGATTGTCAAGCGAATGAAGAAATTTAAACTTGAAAAAGTGAGGGGAGAAAATATCCACGATATTACTGATGCTTTGAAACGGTATCTGAAAGAAATGAAGATCATTAACAAAAGTGTATGCAAAGACTACTATGAGATTTGTGAACGTAAGTCGAACTTTTTTATGCTTAAGCTTCCCTTATTGCTAAGAATGTTCTTGGGGACTTTTAAAACATTCAATAGATACCCTTTTAATGATGCAATTAGATTCTTAAAAGCTTCTTAAAACCTTCCTAAAAAGCATCCTAAGAACATTTTAAGAATACGTTTTTGGAATGTTCTTAGAAGGTTTCTTATGGAGCTCTAGGAAGCTTTTGAGAATATTTCCAAATATGTCAGATACCCACGTTCTAATACGTTGTATTCTACATTCGTAAAATTCTTCAGGAGACGACAAATACGCCTCACTGTCATAATATGACAGTGAAATGTATTTGTCGTCCCCTTAAAAATTTTTTCGACATATTAATATATTTATTTAAAAATATTAAATAAACAATTTGACCTCTAAACCATAAGTTGTATGACATTATGTCATAAAAAGTAAAATTGGAATATTTTGTGGGATATGTCAGATTAGATTGAAGTTGAAGATAGTTAGGATTATTATACATAAAAATGTTAATTCAGAAATAAAAAATCGGTATACAAATTAATAAATATTTATTTTTAACATAAAATAAAATATAAAAAAACAAAATATTTCCTTATAAAATAATTGTTCATAAAAGAAAAAACCAAATAGTTCTTCATAAAAAAACATTTTTCATTGTATTTAAGTTGGATAGAAGATTTTATGTAAAAGCCGGATAATTTAGATACCTATAGTAAACGTATTTTTGTTATTATATTGTTTTAATTTGCCAAATAACTATAAAAAAATATTTTGGGTTGTGTTTTTTACTTAGTATTTAATACTAAGTATAGGTACCTTTATACGTAGGTTATTGTATATTTTACTATTATTTAGGTACCTAACTGAACTGAATATGCTTAACAGAATGTTCCAGGAATATTCCTAAATGAACTTTCTATAGCAATTACTTTCTCAACATTCTAAGCATATTAGAGTGGATTAATTTTTACCACTAAACTTTGCACCTTTTAAGAACCTGCCTATAGGCCAGTGAGAATATTCTTAGGATTATACTATATTTCTTTTAAGCATTACACCTTTAAAAATGGTAAAAAGAGAAAAAAAATAACAGTAGGATGAAACCCATTGGAAAAGGAGGGGAATATAATAAAAGTTAAAGGAAAAATAAATTACGGGCGATCTGAGTTCGGGAAGTGGGAGGGGGGGTTTTTAAGGGTAAAAAATGGTTTATCTCGATTTCCGGCAAAACTACAAGTCCTATGGAAAAAAGTTAAATGTCAAAGTTGTAGGTAATAAAAAGATCTACAACTTTTGTATTTACAATTTTTTCACATAACCTCAAAATTTATGTGAAAAATTCAAAAAACCAAGTTTTTGGTTTTTTATTTTTCTTTTTCAAAAAAAAAAAATTTTTCCACGAAATTTGGTGAAAACTTACTTTTTTATGTCCCAAATACACTGTAATTTATTTGATTTGAAATATTTATTATTTCGCCTTATTTTGACTTAATATCAAAAAAGCACCCTAATTTTCAATCGAAAATTCACGCGTCAAAATATCAGCTTTTTTCAAAAAGTCGGTGTGCTTTTTGTTCGATGAACTCTCTACTTTCTGATGGTGTAAAAAAATATATACATTACTATGGTAAATGTTCTCAGAAAATACAAAAAATATTATAATGAATAACGTAATCAGAATGAAGTATCTAAATTCAATAGTATGATTTACATGTATTTTTATATTTTATGAGATTTTCTGACATAAATGTTATTAGAATTTAATAAATAAACTTTTTAACTAAAAAAATTGCAACAATCACATTTTTTTGATGAAATTGTACATAATGATTAAAATAAATTTTCGAATTCGAGTTTTTTTCGTTATTCATTATAATATTTTTTGCATTTTCTGAGAACATTTACCATAGTAATGTATATTTTTTTACACCATCAGAAAGTAGAGATTTCAACGAACAAAAAGCACACCGACTTTTTGAAAAAAGCTGATATTTTGACGCGAGAATTTTCGATTGAAAATTAAGGTGCTTTTTTGATATTAAGTCAAAATAAGGCGAAATAATAAATATTTCAAATCAAATAAATTACAGTGTATTTGGGACATAAAAAGGTAAGTTTTTACGAAATTTCGTGGAAAAAATTTTTTTTTGAAAAAGAAAAATAAAAAACCAAAAACTTGGTTTTTTGAATTTTTCACATAAATTTTGAGGTTATGTAAAAAAAATGTAATTACAAAAGTTGTAGATCCTTTTATTACCTACAACTTTGCCATTTAACTTTTTTCCATAGGACTTGTAGTTTTGCCGGAAATCGAGGTAAACCATTTTTTACCCTTAAACTCCCCCCCCCCCTCCCACTTCCCGAAGTCAGATCGCCCGTAATTTATTTTTCCTTTCATTTTTATTATATTCTTCTCCTTTTCCAATGGGTTTCATCCTACTGTTATTTTTTTTGGTTTCAAAAATTATCGACACTGGTCTACATGTTCCCCAGCAAACAAAAAAATCGCATTAAAACATTTTTTCTTTTTAAAGGCGAGGAAAAAGACATTCTTGAAACGATCCTCCCGAAAATAGAAAAACGACGAACATTGGACCTGATTCTCAAGCATATTGCGGAAGTATGCAAAGAAAAAAAATCGCCGGAAGATAAGGAAAAACTTTTGGACTCCATGTCGAAAATACTGTGCGAGCAGAATGTATCCAAATCTGATATCTCCGGACCGAGAGATCTTAAAAATCTGATTAAAGTGCTTTTGAGTAAATATCAAGTTCCGGAGCAACCGGACTTGATAAAAGGGCTGGAAAGCAATCCGAACTATTTGAGACAAAAAGAGGAAAGAGAGAGGCAGAAAAGTATGTACGATAATTTGGATTACGAAACAAAACTGTGAGATGTACAAAAAATTAAAAAAATTAAATACAGTTTTACCAAAGTTGACAAAAAATGCATTCAAGTGTTTTATAATTGTTATAGTAACACTGAATGTTGATTTTATAATATTCGTATTGTAAATTTAGGAATTTTGTTACCAAAAATAAAAGCTGTGCCATATTTTACTTCTAGATATTGTATTGTTCCAGCAAAATACAGTGTGTCCCAGAATCACCAGACCTAAGACGAAATTTCGCACCTTTGAAAAAATGGTAAAGTAAATTTCGTCTTAGATATCATTGTTCCGGTGATTTTGGTACACCCTGTAAATCAATTTTAGTGATATTACTTATAATTATGTTAAATTAAATTATTAAAGTTGCGAATATAATTCACAAAATTTAATTTTAAGTTACATGTTATACATAGGTAGGTACAAAGTGCAATGTAAATTTTTAGTAATCAACCATAATGCAGTATTTTGTAAATATTGTTTAAAAATTAAAAAAGAAAAAATTATCTACTTTTTATGCAATTTTCTTTTCTTAATTAAACTTCAAAAGTTTATTATGTTGATGATGATTTTATTAAAATTATATTGACTATAATATTATTAACTTAAATAAAAATTATTTAAACCAAACCTCTGTTTTTAAACTTCCCAGTCAGATGTAATCTAAATGTTTCTGCAAGGCGGCAACTGACATTACACCAACGTGTAGAAATTTTCGACTGGTTGGACACAAATCGAAAATATTGTTTGGGGTGACAAAAAAAAATTGTTGTGAAAGTTTTTTTTTCCTTATCTAGTTTTTGACTTCCAAACCATTGAGTTTAACAAAATTGGCTCAGAAATATTTTTTTAAAAAAATTAAATGCTCTACAAAAAAGGTTAAAATAAAATTTTCCGTCAGATGAACCGTTTCCTTAAAATCATGCCTTAAAAATTTGTATAGTTTTACATTTTGATCTTTTAACTTTGGAATTTTGTAATTCATGTAAAAATCAGTACCCATAAAAAACCAATAAATATTCTTATGGGAAATCAAATGCTTTACAAAAAAACCCTCTTAACATTTTTGGCTAAATTCACTCAATCAAAAGTTATTCAAGGTTAAAGTTCAGTCAAAACGAAATTCTTGTTTTTTCTTGTTTTTTCCTCTATAGAACATTTTTTATGGGTCATAATTTGATTTTTTTCTTTATAAATGTGTATTATATAACTAATTAACAATTTCCAATAAAAAACAACGATTAAATAGGTAACAGTGAGAATATTTTCTAAAGAATTTAACCTTGAATATTTGATGGAGTGAATTTAGCCAAAAATGTTAAAAGACTTTTTTTGTATAGCATTTGATTTCCCATAAGAATATCTATCGGTTTTTTTCCGGGTACTGATTTTTACATGAATTACAAAATTCCAAAGTTAAAAGATCAAATTGTAAAACTATACCAATTTTTAAGGCATGATTTTAAGAAAACGGTTCATCTGACGAAAAATTCTAATTAAACCTTTTTTGTAGAGCATTCAATTTTCTTCAAAAAATATTAAGTCAATTTTGTTAAACTCAATGGTTTGGGAGTTCTGAGACAAAAACTCGATCAGGAAAAAAAATCTTAAATTGAGATGATGGACCTCTTAATTTTAATATTATGGAAGAATCTTCTAAGAAGATATGATCCGGAATAATGGAATATTCTTGGAACCTTCCCCTATTGCTAAGAATCTTCTTAGGGACTTTTAAAACATTCAATAGATACCCTTTTAATGATGCAATTAGATTCTTAAAAGCTTCTTAAAACCTTCCTAAAAAGCATCCTAAGAACATTTTAAGAATACGTTTTTGGAATGTTCATAGAAGGTTTCTTATGGAACTTCTAGGAAGCTTTTGAGAATATTTCCAAATATGTCAGATACCCACGTTCTAATATGTTGTATTCTACATTGGTAAAATTCTTCAGGAGACGACAAATACGCCTCGAGGATCATAATATGACAGTGAAATGTATTTGTCTTCCCCTTAAAAAAATTTGCGACATATTAATATATATTTACCTATATAAAAATATTAAATAAACAATTTGACATCTAAACCATAAGTTTTATGACATTATTTCATAAAAAGTAAAATTGGAAAATTTTGTGGAATAAGTCAGATTAGATTGAAGTTGAAGATAGTTATACAGATTATTATACATACAAATGTTAATTCCGAAATAAAAAAATCGGAATACAAATTAATAAATATTTAATAATAATAAAAAACAAAATACCTATAGTATTTTTAAGTATTTTTGTTATCGAATATTGTTTTAATTTGACAAATAAATATAAAAAAATATTTTGGATTGTGTTTTTTACTTAGTATTTAATACTAATTTCTAATTAGGTACTTAAGTATAGATATATACCTTTATACGTAGTTTGTGGTACATTTTACTATTATATAGGTAACTGAACTAAATATGCTTAACTGGAATATTCCTAAATGAACTTTCTATACATTCCAAGTATATGTTTAGAGTAGACTAATATTTACCACTAAAACTTTGCACCTTCTAAGAACCTGCCTATAGGCCAGTAAGAATATTCTTAGGATCATGATATATGTCTTTTAAGGATGTTCTTTAGAACAAATATAGCATGATCCTAAGAATATTCTCACTGGAAGGTTTAAAAAACAGTCTTAGAATAAACTGTGCTTTTAGGGAAGTATTTAAACCAAAATTATTTCCCATATATTTTGGTTTAAATTTATTTCCCCCCTCGAATCATTTAATTTTTATTTTAAACATTTTTTTGTAAAATGCCTATTTACTGAGATATTTCAAAGTTTAAGTTAAAAGACTCGCCCTGAATATTCATAAATTAAATTAATAAAAGTTACTGAAAATTTTCATAATATAATTACCCAATTTAAAGATAATAAGTGCCCATAAGGTTTTTATTTCATAACTTTGATAAAACCTAAGTATTTCTTTGTTATTTATATTTTTGTTTAGATATGATTATGTCAATATATTATAATCTTGAAACTTTGAACTTGGACATGTTAAATATTTGAAATCATTGGCGCACCTACAATTTTACAAATTTTCATGAGTTAATTTTTTTTTATTATTACATTTTATTTATACAGGATGTTTGGTTTTTACTAGCACGAAACGATATTTTTTGGATTATACACAATTTTTATGGCATACTTAATAACCTACACTTTTATTGTGTTTTGATCTTTCATAATTAAGTAGATATTACAGCTCAGCTTCCAGATTTTTAACCGCAATTAATTATTTTTTACAATGTTTTAAAAGTCTAAAACCTATCCTCCGTGACTGTTCTTTCTAGGTTAACTTATATGTTTTCAAATATCTGAGGTTGTAAAAGCATACTAAAAATATCAGTTCACTAAGTAAATTAAACACATCCAAAGCAATCGAATCAAATATAAAATATTATTAAAAATTAAAAGAAATAATTTTTATGACCATTTATATAGGTGTTACAAAAATTGATTCTATCCTCCGTGAATCTGTTTTTGCTTTAAATTTTATGCAACGGATGGCGCTTTAATCATTTTAAATAAGCAAAAACCTCTGTTTACGACATTATAGATGCATGTGATTCCTGAAGGTCAGTTAGAATTTATATGCAGATGAGAGTGTTGCTGTTTTATAATTCAAAGTTTAAGTTCATTAATTTGCTATTTAAAAACCTATCCACCGTGAAGGGTAATATCTCAGTAAGTAGATTTTTTTTATAAATATTTTATGTATGTACAATTATTGTATTTTTTTAAAAATTAAGGTGTCAAAAGATACAATAACTTATATCAAATATACAAAGGGATGTTAAAAAAAATCATACGAAATCCTAACCTCCGTGAAGCTATCTTCCGTGAAGCTCTAATATTCAAAATGTATGATTTCTTAAAATCTATTACTCACTTTTTCGCAATTTTAAACCCGATTGATTTAATTCACAGTGAATATTGAAATCGGCCAATCAACGTGAATAATGAGTCATAATGTCAATAATATGCAATATGAGTAGAAAAATAAAATTAATTAGTAAACTTGCTGTTCTTAAACTACGCCACTGCAATTTACTGATAAAGAACATCCAAAACTGATATTTTTAAGAGTAACTCAGCGTTTTCCTGAAATTTGGACTTCTTTGTTGTTACATCGACTCCTAGGCACGTTGATTTAAAAAAGTAAAAATGGACGCCATAAGAAATGGTTGGTTTTCTGAATTGAGCAGTTTGTGGCCTGCTCAGTGTTTTTCCTTGGAAGTTACTGAACCTTTGTATTCTGGAAAGTCTGATTTTCAAGACGTTTTAGTGTTTAAATCGTAAGTACATTTGACTATCTATTATTATTCCTTTGAAAGTAATTATTAATATATACTAAATATTAAGGATTAATATTTTATTTTAAATTAAAACTGTTCCGCTGTTTTAAATGACACACAAAAACATTTTTTTCCGATGATACCAAAGTAAAAAAAACAACTTGGAAATAGTTGACTATTAAATTTCCCTAAGGTTCTAAATATGAAAATTTTATTTCATAATTTTCTTAAAACAACTGAAAAATCCGCAATTTTTATTTTTGATGTTATATAAAATTTATAAATATACTTTTCTGTAAACGCTCTGTATAGTATAAAAAAAAGTTAAACAGCCACGTAGTATATAATGTATAAATAGGCACATGCATATTTATTATATTGACCTTGATGTGGACATTTCTACTTATAAGAAGCCGGGTTAAATCAAATCGATTTTTTTTAAATAACCTTAAAATAAATAAATAGTACCTAAACAAAACATACGACGCAATCGTTTTAAAGTCAGTGTCGAAATGAGTAAAATTGTGGACGGAGTATTTTTGGAATCGTGTCCCAATCTACCGTCTTTCGGTAACAACATACAAGTGGAAAAAGTTTTACTGGAATCAAAATCGGACTATCAAAATGTACTGGTTTTTAGTACGTAAGTTTCATGTATAATACTTGAGGTGAATTTTGTTTAAAGGTCTAGATAATTTGGCTAAGATTGTAGTTGGGTGCCCATACCTATGGGCACATGGAGGCAACTTTATTTGCAATTTTTAAATTGCAAAATACTTTGGTATTAATTAATACCTATATCTAAAACATTCATACAGGTACAGGTATAATTTTTTTATGTTTTACTTATATATAAGTAAAACATAAAAAAATTATTATAAAAACTGTTTATTAGGAAAATATTTAAATTTAACTCTGTAACAAAGAAAACCAGGTTTTCTTTGCCATTATTAATTTCTTTTATTCGAAATTGCCCCAATTTTGACCTTATCAATAAAACCTTTCTACTAAATTCTTTGGAGGTATTTGGTCTTTAATAAGAATTTTAAAATATGTAAATATAAAAATGCACCTACTTACTCATTTAAATTTAACAACCATTCCCTGATAGCAAAATTTGATTTTAAGAATATTCTAAGAAGATATGAACCGGAATAATGGAATATTCTTAGAACCTTCCCTTATCGCTAAAAATGTTCTTAGGGACTTTTAAAATATTCAATAGATACCCTTTTAATGATGCAATTAGATTCTTAAAAGCTTCTTAAAACCTTCCTAAAAAGCATCCTAAGAATATTTTAAGAATACGTTTTTGGAATGTTCTAAGAAGGTTTCTTATGGAGCTTCTAGGAAGCTTTTGAGAATATTTCCAAATATGTCAGATACCCACGTTCTAATATGTTGTATTCTACATTCGTAAAATTCTTCAGGAGACGACATATACGCCTCACTGTCATAATATGACAGTGAAATGTATTTGTCGTCCCCTTAAAAAATTTTGCGACATATTAATATTATTATTTAAAAACATTAAATAAACTATTTGACCTCTAAACCATAAGTTGTATGACATTATTTCATAAAAAGTAAAATTGGAAAATTTTGTGGGATAAGTCAGATTAGATTGAAATTGAAGATAGTTAGGATTATTATACATAAAAATGTTAATTCAGAAATAAAAAATCGGTAGGTATACAAATTAATAAATATTTATTTTTAACATAAAATAAAATATAAAAAAACAAAATATTTCTTTATAAAATAATTCTTCATAAAAGAAAAAACCAAATAGTTCTTCATAAAAAAACATTTTTCATTGTATTTAAGTTGGATAGAAGATTGTATGTAAAAGCCGGATAATTTAGATACCTATAGTAAAAGTATTTTTGTTATCGAATATTGTTTTAATTTGGCAAATAACTATAAAAAAATATTTTGGGTTGTGTTTTTTACTTAGTATTTAATACTAAGTATAGGTACCTTTATACGTAGATGGTATATTTTACTATTATATAGGTACTTAACTAAACTGAATATGCTTAACAGAATGTTCCAGGAATATTCCTAAATGAACTTTCTATAGCAATTACTTTCTCAACATTCTAAGCATATGTTTAGAGTGGATTAATTTTTACCACTAAACTTTGCACCTTCTAAGAACCTGCCTATAGGCCAGTGAGAATATTCTTAGGATTATGCTATATTTCTTTTAAGCATGTTCTTTAGAAGAAATATAGCATGATCCTAAGAATATTCTCACTGGAAGGTTTAAAAAACATTCTTAGAACATGACTAGAAGAAATATAGCATGATCCTAAGAATATTCTCACTGGAAGGTTTAAAAAACATTCTTAGAATAAACTGTGGTATCAGGGTAGTAAAATACTTTAACCAAAGATCATTGGTAATGTAGCTATGAGTCCTAATAAAATTGACAAAAATTATATTAGGTATACACATTCATAAAGTGTTTAAATTCATGTTTTGAACGAAATAAAATCATATTTCGTCAAATATAATATACAGATATTATCTATGTATCTATAGATAGATATATTTGACGAAATATGATTTTATTTCGTTCAAAACATGAATTTTAAAGGTGAATGTGTATACCTAATATAATTTTTGTCAATTTTATTAGGAAAGTATACTTTATTGTGTTAAAATTTCAACGCTATTAAATAAAAATTGCTAAAATGGCACTCGTGTTAAAAGTTATATTATCAGAAATTACCGTAACTAAAACAATAACCTGTATAGGTTAGGGCAATATAGATTATTTAAAAAAAAAATCTGATGAATATTTAATAATACTTCAGACCTGCTGTCATATTTCGCCGTTAATATATGCCTTTTAACCATACCTTTGGGATTTTGTCAAAAAATTACATTCAAGTAAAAATGGAAATAAGGCCTTTTGAAAAATCACTCCTCATTTACGTTTGCATAAATGTTGACTGTCGAATATTTTTTTACAAAAACTTTTTATATTTTTTAACTTCACCCAGCAAATTCCAAAATGTTTAAACTCTCATTGAAAAACTAAAGTTTGAGTACTTAGAATCGCCCATATCTAATAAAAATAAACGTTCATCTAGCAGTCAGAAATGAGTGTTATCAGGGAAGGCTGTTTCAGAGAGTCCTGCCCAAACTTACCTGACTTTTATAAGGCGGTAAAAATCGACCAAATTTTGCTGCAAACAAAAAGTGAATACCAAGATGTGCTTGTATTTAAAACGTGAGTTATTTTTGGATTAAATTCGCCCTAAGTATACTTCCACAGATATTATATCAGAAATTTTGCTCGTTTCATTTCATTGATCACGCGACGCCTCAAGGTCAATTTAATGTGTTGCGTGTTTTATAGCTTCCGTGCTTTGGGCGTTATCTGGGTTGCATATGTAAGGTTTGCAAAAAATAACAATTTTGTAGCCTACTGTAAAATCGTGATGGGATATCCTTAAAATTTATTATTTTTAAATTTTTAGCAAAAAACATGGCAATGTTCTGGTCCTGGACGGGGCAATCCAGTGCACAGAGTTCGATGAATTCTCTTACCAAGAAATGATCACTTTTCTGCCTCTAAACGCCCATGGAAATCCTCAAAAAGTATTAATAGTGGGCGGGGGAGACGGCGGTGTTGCCAGAGAGGTCTCCAAGCATCCACTGGTAAGAAAAAATTTTTTTTGCGAACTAAAAATTTTGAATAATATAAAATTTTAAACATTTTGGATATTTTAAATATTTTAGGAATTTTAATAAATTTGGAAAATTTATAAATTTTGTAAATTTAAGATATTTTGAAAGTTTTCGAAATTTGTCCCACCATCTTTTAAATTCATGCCACCGTGCAAATTTTTCCTACCATTTTTTAAATTAATAAACCACTAGTAAAAAAATTAAAGGATTTTTTTTGCGAACTGGAAATTTTGAAAATTATAAAATTTTAAACATTTTGGATATTTTAAATATTTTAGGAATTATAAAAATTATGTATTTTGAAAATTTTCGAAATTTGTCCCACAATTTTTTAATTTCATGCCACCGTGCAAATTTGTCCTACCATTTTTCTAAATTAATAAATGCACTGACAAAAAAAAATAATTAAAGGGTTTGTGCTGACTAGAAATTTTAAATATTATAAATTTTTAAAAAATTTGGATATTTGAAATATTAGGAATTTCAAAAAATTTGGAAATTTTAAAAAACCTTGGTTATTTTAGGATATTGGAATATTTATAAATTTTGAGAATTTTAGATATCTATTTAGAAAATTTGTCCCACCATTTTTAAATTCATGCCACCGTGCGAATTTGTCCTACCATTTTTAAATTAATAAACCACTGGTGAGAAAAAAATTAAAGAGCTTTTTGCGAACCAAAAATTTTGAATAATATAAAATTTAAAAAATTTTGGTTATTTTAGAAATTTTGGAAAATTTCATAAAAACCTTAGAAATCTTGAACTTTCAAAAAATTTGTAAGTTATAGGTAAATTTTGAAAATTTTAGATATTTTGAAAATTTGTCCCATTTTTTATTTTTAAATTCTTTAAATTAAGTAAAAAAAAAATTAAAGGTTTTTGGGAACAAGAAATTTTCAATATTATAAAATTTTAAACATTTTGGATATTTTAAATATTTTAGGAATTATAAAAACTACAAAAAAATTTATAAAAATTTAGGAATCTTAAAAAATTTGGAAAATTTATAAATTTTAAAATTTTTATATATTTTGAAAATTTTCGAAATTTGTCCCACAATCTTTTAATTTCATGCCACCGTGCGAATTTGTCCTACCATTTTTTTAAATTAATATATCCACTGGTAAGAAAATAATTAAAGGGTTTTTTGCGGACTAGAAATTTTGAATATTGTGTATATTATTAAAATTTTGGATATTTTAAACATACAATTAAGAGTTTTAAAAAATTTTGGAAAATTTTATAAACATTTTAAAAACCTTAGTTATTTTGGGAATTTTAAAAAATTTGGAATATTTATAAATTTTGAAAATTTTAGATATATGTACATATCTATTTTGAAAATTTTAGATATTTTGAAAATTTTTCCCACTATTTTTAAATTCTTTAAATTAAGTAAAAAAAAGGTTTGGGAACTAAAAATTTTAGATATTTGTCCAACCATTTTTAAAATTTATACCACCGTGCGAATTTGTCTCATCATTTTTAATAATTTTAAATTCACTGGTAAGAAAAAAAATTAAAGGGTGTTTTATGTGAATTGGAAATTTTTAATATTATAAAATATTTTGAAATATTTGAATATTTTAGGAATTATAAAAAACTTTGGAAAACTGTATAAAAATTTTAAAAACCTTAAAATTTTAGGAATTTTAAAAATTTTTGTAAATTTTAAATTTTTTAGATATTTTCAAAATTTGTCCCACCATTTTTTAAATTCATCCCACCGTGCGAATTTGTCCTTTTAAATTTATTTACTTATTATTTTGATTATAAAATTTTAAAAATATTGGATATTTTGAATATTTAAGGAATTATAAAAACTGGAACTGCAGTTCCATGGAACGTTTATAAATTTTGAAAATTTTAGATACTTTAAAAATTTGTCCCACCATTTTTTAAATTAACAAAAAAATTAAAGGTTTTTTGCGAAATTTTGGATATTTTGAATATTTTATTTGATAAACTTTTAAAAACCTCAAAAATTGACATTTGACAGTTTTATGACAGCCCTGATAGAATAAAGTTTATTTTTTTTACAATAGAGGAGTAAGATGGTTGTTCTTAGCACTTTATGGACTCTTTTAAGGCTTAATATGAGAAACACAACGTTTAAAACGATTATTAATCTGTATAAACAGAGCACAAACCCAAAGCACAAAAATTGTAAACAACAAAAATGGCCGCCGTTAAACTGTGCAGTGTTGCAGTGATTTTTTGTATTTTTAGTACGAGATAGAACAGACCTTGTTGTGTGGATTGTGCCCGAAACATTAATTTTAATGTGAAGTTTTTAATTGGTTTTAAATAAAAAGATCGATATTCTAGGGTACTTACTTCAAATACTGACATTCGATTTTTGTACATCAATTTTTCTTGAAAATGTTGGGTTAACCATAGACAAGGGATTGGTTGGGTGGGCGGGGGGTTAACATTTTTTTAAATTAAATTCTGCCTAGGCCTAACTAGGTACTGACGCAATATGTGTGAGTAGTTTTCCTAGAGATACAAAAAATATTATTATTTTAGGTAAAAGAAATAGTACAAGTAGAAATAGACCAGAAAGTCATCGATGTAAGCAAGAAGTACCTTCCTGGAATGGCCGCAGGCTTCGACTCCCCCAAACTGACACTTTTGGTTTGCGATGGTTTTGAGTACATGAAAAATCACCAAAACGAGTTCGACGTCATCATAACCGACTCGTCAGATCCTGTTGGACCGGCCGAAAATTTGTTCACCGAATCCTATTTTGCCCTTCTGAAGAAGGCGCTGAAACCCAATGGAGTTATCTGCTCACAAGGAGGTAATTTTTTAACCAAAAGTCAATTTGTTATGTATTAATACACTCACATCTTATGGTAAAAAACATCTTTTTGTTTAAACCTGTATATTATAAACGTACGTCTATTTTTTAGTAATTTTTTAAAATGTGAGAGATTGTCCATTAATTTATCTACAATATTCTTTAATATTCGTCTAAATCCGACATCAAATAAAAAAGTTATTTGAGATCGAAAATTTGTGTGGATCGATTATTTTGCCTGTGAGTGTATATTAATAAAGCAATATTTCCAGGTACTGTTTGGTGCTGTCTGGACTACATCAAGAAGACTCTGGACGGGTGCAGAAAGCATTTTAAAAACGTGGAATACGCTAGGTGCTCTGTACCGACGTACCCCAATGGTGAAATAGGGTTCGTTATTGCTACTGATGATCAGAGCTTGCAGCTGTCAAAAGCCAAGTACGTTTTTACCGAGAAGGAATTGGACGAACTTCGTTTGAAATATTACACCCCTGAAGTGCACACTGCTGCGTTTGCTCTGCCGAATTTTGTCAGGCAAGCTTTGAAATCGTCCAGTTAAAAAAAAATTGTGTTCGTTTTTTATTTACTATTACTGCCACCCAAAGTAAGAAAACCTTTTTTTATTCTTTATTCAGGAATTAATTTTATGTGTTAACCTTAAAGTGATATTTTCAATTGGGTAAAAAATATCACAAGAATTTTTATTCTGCGAATATATTTTAAAATTTGATTTAATTTGTATGCCTTTTTATTAAGTTAATTTAAAATATTTGCTTCTTATTTTTGTATTTGTATATTTTTAATTCGCTAAAATAAAAATATCAAACGAGGAATTTTTAAATGTATTAAAATATCATAGGATATTTTTAATTGAACTGGTAGAAATTTTGGATATTTTGAATATTTTAGGAATTGTAAAAGAAATTTAGGAATCTTCAAAAATTTGGAAAATTTATAAATTTTGAAAATATTAGATATTTTGAAATTTCATGCCAATATAAAATTTTGAAAATATTGTCTATTTAGAAAATTTTAAAAACCTTTACATTTAGGAATCTTAAAAAAATTTTAAAATTTATAAATTTTGAAAATATTAGATATTTTGAAAATTTGTCTAACCATTTTTTAAATTCATTCAATTTTTCCTTTTTTTTTAAATAATTTCACCATTGGTTAGAAAAAAAAATTAAAGGTTTTTTTGCGGAACTGGAAATTTTGAATAATATAACATTTTGGATATTTTGAATATATTTTAATATAGGAATTTTAAAAATTTTCAAAATTATATAAAAAATTAAAAAACCCAAAAAATTTAGGAATTTTAAAAAATTTGGAAAATTTTAGATATTTTTAAAATTTGTCCAACCATTTTTTAAATTTATGCCACCGTGCAAATTTGTCCTACCAATTTTTTAAATTAATAATTTCACCGGCAGAAAAAAATTAAACGGCTTTTGCTGTCTAACATTCTGAATTTTATAAAATTTTAAAAATATTGGATATTTTGAATATTTTAGGTATTAAAAAAAATTATATAAAAATATTAAAAACCTAAAAAATTTAGGAATTTTAAAAAATTTTGAAAATTTATAAGGTTTTTTTGCGAAATAAAAATTTTGAATAATATAACATTTTGGATATTTTCAATGTATTACAAAGGAATCTTAAAAATTTTGAAAATTTTTATAAGAATTTTAAAAACCTTAAAAATTTAGGAATTTTAAAAATTTGGAAAATTTTCGATATTTTAAAAATTTGTCCCACAATTTTTTAAATTTATGCCACCGTGGAAATTTGTCCTACCATTTTTTAAATTAGTAATTCAACTATCTAGTAAGAAAACAAATTTAAGTGTTTTAGAAAATTTTAATATTATAAAATTTAAAATTTTAATAAATTTGGAAAATTAGATACCTACCTATTTTGAAAATTTGTCCAAACATTTTTTAAATCTTAAAAATTTTGAATATAATTAATTATTTTAGGAATTATAACAACTTTTTAAAAACCTTAAAAATTTAGTAATCATACAAATTTGAAAAATTTTCAACATTAGATATTTTAAAAAATTGTCCAACCATTTTTTAAATTCATGCCACCGTGCAAATTTGTCCTACAATTTTTTTTTATTAATAAACCACTAAAATTAAATTTAATTCTTAAATATCTACTATGATATTTTTAAATCGCAGAATAAAATTTTTTATATTTTTTTTATCTAATTGAAAATATTACTTTAGTGTTAACACAAGAATAATTTCTGAATAAAAATAAAATGTTGCCCCATAAAAACTGTTAACTACATTTCGACTTAAACTGAGTTAACTTGAAAATCCCTAATTGTGAAGTTATTGCTTTTTTAAAGTCCATTTTAGATCTAGTTGGTCTTTATTACGTCGCTGTAATAAAAAAATTAAAACTTTTGTCCCAAGCTCAGTAAAAATATCAAACCTATTTCAGTTAATTTTTTTTTACTTATGATGGCAGATCCGTTCTTGAATATGTGTGTTTTTGTTCCACTTTGTTATTTTAAGTATTATTTTGTAATCTCAAGCGGTTTTATAACATTTCTTTTGCAGTATTTTTTGACAATTTTCTTTGTAAAACTTAATAAATAAATTTAAACGTATTAACGTTGTTTTTATAGACTAGCTCTGCAAATCAATCAATGGTAAATTGTCATTGGACAATAATTATTTTACATTAATACTGTAAAAACAAGAGTTCTATAAATAGTTACCTTAAATTCAAATCATTAGATGACGCTGTATACAATTATAAATATCTCAGTCGGTAATGATATGGAACTACTTTATTTTGGGTCCAATATAGGACAAAAAAGTTCGCACGTTACCACACCAAATTGTGTTTAAATAATTAAAATTTATTTTTTGATTTAACTTGACCTCGACTTGATTATTTAGTTACCATGGCAACTAAGTCAATCCCAACCTAAAATTTATTTCAATTTTGAAGCTGTCAAGCGGCACGACGTAAAAAAATGTGAAATTGTCTGCTGTAATGATCAATCATCGTGCAATGACTTATTTACCCGCATTATTAGAGGATTGTGGCTCCTTCTTGAAGAAAGAAAATTTGTTTTGAATTGTTCACGAATATTTGCATCTTAACTATTCAAAACTCAAAGTGCTAAATGGAAAAAAAGGTGAATAGAATAGTGTCTAAATATTATATATATTTCATTAGACATAGACATTTAATTTATTTCAATTCCTGCATTTTCGCCATTAAGAAGAAAGGAGGTGTCCAACGAATATAGAAAACATCTAAACTTTGTAATGGAAATGTATCAAAATTATCATGTAAACAAATAAAAACCAGATTGTCAAAAAAATATCATTATAAACGTCAAAAAATTTCCAGTATAATTCGCTGTTGGGTACCCACGAGGAAAAAATTTCCACTAAAATTCAACCGTTGCCATGGTGATCTATCAAAAATACACGTTTTGATTGGTTAAAAATTACAGGTGTGGAATTTTCGTAAGTAATATCATAAGGGCATTTAATTTTTCCGAAAAGAATCGAAAAAACACGTTGCTAAGTAATATTTTAACAAAAAGCATGAGTGCTGGTGGCAACAAAAATCCGAGTCGAAGAGGAGGATTTTTGCACCTGCACGAATGCATTTTGTTAAAAAATATTACTTAGCATTGTGTTTTTTCGATTTTTTTCACAGGAAAAATTAGATGCCCGAATGGTATTTGACAAGACTATTTCATGAGTAACAGTTACAACAATTAAAATATAAATTGCAATTTTTGGTGACAACAGCTGTCAAGTTTTGCCGCGGGTAAACTCGAAAAAACTGCTGACAGGTGCTGTCACACAGTTTTTTCAACTAGAAACCATTTGTAATTCAAAATTGCGCGTTTGTGATTGGTGGAAATTAAGACGAGGGAAATAGTCATATATAATACCACAAGAGCTTCAAAATTATCGGGTATTTTTCCCGATAGGTTCGTTGCAAACAAATGAAGGAGTCAAGTTTTTCAGGTTAAAAAATCACGAGCGCGAAGCGCGAGTGATTTTTCATGAAAAACTTGACGACTTTATTTGTTTGCAGGGAACCTTGAGGGAAATGCCAGATAATTTTGAAGCTCGTGTGGTATTCGGGGGATTATTTTTTTTGACAGTTATTATTGTACCTTCCTTATAGTCTTCTCCATCCATTTTCTTCATATTGTAAGCGTAATCTTTCATAATGTTTGCCAATTGCGCTTCACTCGTTTCAGCACTCAATGTGTATTCCCTCTCAGTACAAAAAGTAGTAAATTGGTTCCAAACTGTTTTTTTTGACTTCTCCGTATTAATGGGAACATTTCCTTTGACTTTTTTATCGATGGTGGACAGAGAACAAACTCCAAATCGACTCATTTTCATGCAAAATCTCCAATTTTCACAATTGAATTCAACCTGTCAGTTTGACGTGTAATTAATTTGACTTTTTTATATATAGCAACTACCAGAGAAAATTTTCAAAAAATTATCGCTGTAATTCGCTGTAGGTTCCCTCAACAACAATGCCTCAACAATGTCCCAACAATACAGAGAACTGTCAAAAAAAATAATCCAATAAATGGACTTGACGGGTAAATTTATTTGTTACATGGTTGCTGCGTAACTTGGTTTAAACAATTTGTTTAGACTTAAAAATAACTTAAAATTTAACTGTATACAGAAGTTCTACCAATTTCAATATAAATGGAACAACCCAACCCTTTACAAGTACACCAAAAACTGCCGAGATTTTCGGTAGATATACTAAGAATATGGTTGTCAGAACACGTGCACCATGCATTCCCGACTGCAGCTCAAAAACTAACCTTATCCCAAGAAGCCAATCTGACAGTTTTACAAGTTGACAACTGGTTTGTTAACGCCCGAAGACGAATTCTACCGGAGATGATCAGCCGAAAAGCAAAAGATTACGCCGTCTACAGACGCTGTCAACTAGATGTTGCGAACTCTGGGGAAGTGGAGAATCTAGAATTAAATGTATTTTTTGGTGATAATTAAAACACTTAATTACTACTTATTTTCTGAAATTTTGTTCATACTTCAGGACGACAATGTTTTAAAGTAAAAATTAAACGACTAGTTTTGTAGGGATAGCACAGTTTATTCTAAGAATGTTTTTTAAACCTTTCAGTGGGAATATTCTTAGGATCATGCTATATTTCTTCTAGTCATGTTCTAAGAATGTTTTTTAAACCTTCCAGTGAGAATATTCTTAGGATCATGCTAAATTTCTTCTAGTCATGTTCTAAGAATGTTTTTTAAACCTTTCAGTGAGAATATTCTTAGGATCATGCTATATTTCTTCTAAAGAACATGCTTAAAAGACATATAGCATGATCCTAAGAAAATTCTCACTGGCATATAGGCAGGTTCTTAGAAGGTGCAAAGTTTGGTTGGTAAAAATTAATCCACTCTAAACATATGCTTAGAATGTTGAGAAAGTAATTGCTATAGAAAGTTCATTTAGGAATATTCCTGGAACATTCTGTTAAGCATATTTAGTTAGATACCTATATAATAGTAAAATATACCATAATCTACGTCTAAAGGTACAATACTTAGTATTAAATACTAAGTAAAAAACATAACCCAAAATATTTTTTTATAGTTATTTGTCAAATTAAAACAATATTCGATAACAATAGTATATTACACTACAAGGGCAGAAAGTGTGAGACTCCTGCACTGCGCGCAGTTCCGGGCTCTCACACTTTCTGCCCGTGTAGTGTATACTATTTTTCTTACTACCTCGGCCGAAAATACAACCCGGACGAAAATACGGGAAAAAATTAAATGTGTATTTATGTACCTATCTCCATTTGAAGAGCTTGATAAATAAATAACAGTATACTGTTACCTATAGGCCGCGGTGCCAATAAAGTAAAAATAAAAGGTTGAATTTTAATTAACAAATAAAAGTACCATTAAACACTTAAAACAACATAAAAAGTAAAAACATATAGTATATTGTGTCTCAAGATCAGAAAACTAGCTTAAGCAGCCCGCGGCAGTTGATAGCTAAGGGCTGCTAATGCGTTTTCTGAACGTGTGACACACATCTGTTTTTCGCCTAGCATCAAACAATTTTTTTTTTAATTCATAGAAACATTGCTAGCTTCCTCTTTTTCAAATCTGGTCAAGTATTCGTAAATTTTTCGTTATTGTCCGAGTTACCATTCACTTTATTACAAAATTTAAATCAGGTTAAAATTTTGATGTTATTTTATACTTTTGTTGTCCGTTTTTATTTTGATTTACACAAACGTCTGAAAATCTCAAATGTCAAAATGTCAAATGCCAAAATACATAAATGTAAGTGAAAGGTGTCTAGATTGTGAAAAACTACAAAAATCAAGTTTAGCGGCCCTAGGGACGATATGAGTTTACCGACCCTAGAGACAATAAATATTATTTTCGGTCATATTTTTAGGTTTTATGTGATTCATTTTTATATGTGCTGGGCGAAAAAAATAATTTTACTATAGGTATCTAAATTATCCGGTTTTTCATAAAACCTTCTATCCAACTTAATACTTAATACAATGAAAAATGTTTTTTTTATGAAGAACTATTTGGTTTTTTCTTTTATGAAGAATTATTTTATAAGGAAATATTTTGTTTTTTTATATTTTATTTTATGTTAAAAATAAATATTTATTAATTTGTGTACCGATTTTTTATTTCTGAATTAACATTTTTATGTATAATAATGCTAACTATCTTCAACTTCAATCTAATCTGACTTATCCCACAAAATTTTCCAATTTTACTTTTTATGAAATGTCATACAACTTATGGTTCAGAGTTCAAATTGTTTATTTAATATTTTTAAATAAATATATATTAATATGTCGCAAAATTTTTTAAGGGGACGACAAATACATTTCACTGTCATATTATGACAGTGAGGCGTATTTGTCGTCTCCTAAGGAATTTTACGAATGTAGAATACAACATATTAGCCATATTTGGAAATAATCTCAAAAGCTTCCTAGAAGCTCCATAAGAAACCTTCTAAGAACATTCCAAAAACGTATTCTTAAAATGTTTTTAGGATGCTTTTTAGGAAGGTTTTAAGAAGCTTTTAAGAATCTAATTGCATCATTAAAAGGGTATCTATAATAGATAATCTATTGAATGTTTTAAAAGTCCATAAGAACATTCTTAGCAATAAGGGAAGGTTCTAAGAATATTCCATTATTCCGGGTCATATCTTCTTAGAAGATTCTTAAAATCAAATTTTGCTATCAGGGTGTAACTCAAATCCAAAATCTGTAACCACCACTACAAAAACATGCAAAAAAATATAGTAATTGGACATTTTATATAGTAATTGGACACATGGACCATAGTTATTGGACATACATTTTATATAAATTTATATAAAAATTGTTATGTTAACATAACAACTTTACATCAAGTAACATAAATGTTAAATATTATGTTAATTTTTTTTATTTCGTTTTTGTAAATAGTACCTTGAATATTTGGGGATTCTTAATTTCTTCCGAACTGGGCAGGTGGCTGTAAAAGGCAAGTAATTATTAGGTTTATTGTGTAACAGTGGTAGGAGATGATGTGAAACAAGTTATTTTTTATTTTATTTTATTTATATACACAACTTGTATTTTTTTTTTGACCATGTGAATTTTTTTTTTCTGTTGTGTTTTGTTTTTCTTTTTTTTTGTTAAAGTTTCATCATAATTTTTTTCTTTCTTATAACAAATAACTTTACAATTTGTAATAGTATATTATGTATCAAGTTTGATAAACGCCAGAAAAGTTTATAAACGAGGTGCATACTATACTTTTTCTACGACAACTACTTATTATTATCTTAAAATGATTTAAATCAAAAATTTGTATAGAGCGCCATCTATGAAACAATTGGGGAATCTGTGTGTCACCGTCAAATGTCAAATTTTTATATTTTATAAACTGATTATAAAGGTTATAAATCGAAATGTATTTATTGAAAATTCACAGTTTTTCACAGTGAAAGTAAAGAAAATGTTTTATGAGCACTTTACAGTGGAGTCCGTGCCCGAATTTAAGTTATAGTTTACTGCCGGCGAAATTAAAAGGTCAGTACAATGTTCGTATAAACTTTTCAAATATTGGCGTTGAGAAACTATTTAATACTTTTGTATTTTTGTATTGAGATAATAAAATAATTTTCACATTTAGTATTATTTTACAAGAAAGGCACTTTATTTTAACGATTGTATGACATTTGACAACTGTCAACTAACTTAAAACTAACTTCAGCCCGTGACTAAAGCGCCATAAAGCCACAACTTGTCAATGTGTATTTAAAAGGTCACTTAGTGTCAAGGACGTTTTAAAGGTGGGAGAAGAAAAAATTAGTTATGTCATTGTAATCTATGAAAATTCAGTGCAGCAGAAAAGGTGACAGTTCTAAGCAAAATTTTGTGTATTAATAAATGTGTAATAATACCTATTCTACTGCCTCGGCTACCGCCTGTATGCTCGACCATAATATGTGCTTTCTCCGCATCGTCTTTAATGTTCTACAAATAAGGCTTTATTTAAAAAATAATTTTCATTTTGTTTACATTAAAAGTTATAATCGTTGAGTGAAGAATTATCACACCTTAATCAATGTTATAATTTTAATTTATCTATTTTGCGTTCATAATGACTTTTTTTCATACTTTATCCTACCCAAAATTTTGATTTTATAGGTTGGCTATACTTTAAACAGCATAATATTTTGCATATTGGTTATAATATTTTTATGATTTTTCTAGTACTTTTCTGGCAATAAATTTTGTTTAACACCAAAGAAAATCCTTTTTTTTCTTCTTTAACATTAACAGCCGCCTATTGTAAATAAGTAAATTAAGGACGGCATGGCGAATCGATTTTGACATTAACAGTCAAACCAATGACTGTGATACCAACTATCTAAAGTAAAATTCGACCAAATTAAATTTAAGGTATAAAATTAATTTTTTTTATAGATTTTTTGCAAAATAGATAAAATAGCATAAATAACTCATGTCATAAGACCTTTTGTCGCACTCGTCCATTACAAAATTCGCTCGTTTTATAAATTGTCCGCTTGCGACAAAATGACGTCTTATGACATTAGTTCTTTAATATACTATTATCCCTTTTTTTTAAATTTTGCCAGACAAATAAAAAACCATTACCAATAGCTATCAAAGCCCAGTTTTTTTGATAAAAGCATTGGTTTTCCTAGCTTGACGTATTTTAAATTTGACCATGACATTTAAATTGACACTGTGAAATTGTAACAAATATACGGTTGGTTTTAACAGTATTATGAAACAATTTTTTCCTAGTACCTACTTAACTAAAAGTCCCCTTTTTCAATCAATTGTGAATTACCTTATTTTTTTAAAGATTTATTTACTTCCCGGCAAACATTTGATTGGGCTCAATCCTAGGTCAATTTTATTGGGTCAATTTAATTCAAAAAAGATTGAGTCATTTTTGCACAATCATTGCGAATGAATTATTTGATTGCGTTATATTTGGCCAAACTTTGTCCAATTTGAGTTGCTCAAACATTGGCGATTGTTGCGGACGCACGTACAGCTGTTTATTGCATAATATAATTGACGATGTAAATGAGCCATTACCACTCAATAATAGACCAAACAGTTTGTTTCAAACTTAAGTTTGGTTAGGATGTTATTTACATGTTTTCTTTATACTTTATTTAAGTATATTCTTTTAAAAATAGTTGTTTCATTAATTCAATTAATTTCTTACGTACTTAGTAGGTATAATGAAACAACAGAAACACTTTATAAATATTGTAAATTGTATAGAATTCAAATTTCGCGCGTCTGTCGCCATTCGCGGGCTTCCGGGCAAAGCCTCCATATTCTTCGATTTGGTTATATGGGTTTAACTTTAAAGCTGGAAAAGTGAAGTGCATCACTAAAAGTAAGTACCTAATTCAGTTTTTTATGTGTGTTACAACTTTTGGAAGAAACTATTATTATGTTTAATAAAGAATGTTATTACAATAGTGTTTTTATTTCAAATACTCAACCAATAGTCATTGTTCTTAAAATTCCTTAAACCATACAAAAATTAATTCCCTTGTTTTACACAATTTTGATTTTTTTTAAATTGAGTCATTTAGTTAATTGAATTGTCAAATAATTAGCTAAATGTTCCACATTCGAATATTTAAAAATTAAATATCCAATTGCCTTAAAATTGCACATTTATTGGTGGTTTTGGTTGCTCAACAGTGTTGCCAGATGTAACATGACTATCAAATTGTAATATTTTTTTTCTTAAAAGAAAAAATAAAATAGTTATCTGTACCATAATCGATCACATATAGTAACATAATTTATTCTCCCAGAATAACGTATTACGGTACAGTTGTAATAATTTTCTGAAAAATCCAATAATTTTGTAACTTTTCTCATCTGGCAACACTGTTGCTCAACGAAATTGGGCAAAGTTTGATGGTAGTTGCGGACGCACGTACTTGCAATATTTGGCCAATCAAATTCAATCTGTTTAGTAAATCTTTGGCCAATTCTAACCCAAACATTGTTTGCCGGGTTAACTTTATCAGAACATAAGTGGTTTAAGATATTAATTATTATTAAGATTTTAATATAGATACACATTTATCACGTTTAGTTTACATGGACAATTTAGATGTTTAAGCACAATCTTATAGAGAACGACTAGACTGTGTTTTGAATATTTAATTTAATTTAAGACACTATGAATTTATTAAGTTTGTTGTTTGTGGCACTTAGTTTTATATTAAACACATATTGTTTGGAGGTAAGTAGAAATAATATAAGAGGGTTTCACACCCCACAACTTTTCCGGAACAAAATTTGTTATTTTTGGATATTTCATATTATACATGTAAGTTCATTTTTTTTATTTGGACTCATGTTTTTTTATTAAGTTGGTAGCTTATGCCAGTTTGATTTAGTATTTAAAAAATGATACTTAAGACCTTAATTAAATACTCTAGAGCTGACACTGTTAAATTGACAGTAATATTTATTATTGATAATTTACTTGTTAATTATTATATCTATATATATATATAGATATAAAAAGATAAATATGTTAAAAATAATATCAGATTCTATAGTAAAAGAACTTTTAACAGCTAAGTTTCAAAAAATAAAGAGGAAATTAAAAAAACAAAGAATAAAAATTATTTGCTGTTAGGTTCAACCTTTTTGTGAAAAATCTAGAAGTTAATTTCCCTGTCTTTGAAAATAGCACAACCATTTGGTTTGAAAAAGATAAGCAATAATCACGAAACTTTTTCTTCTTTCAATTTGCAAGTCACTGAACCTAAGAACATTTTAAGAATACGTTTTTGGAATGTTCTTAGAAGGTTTCTTATGGAGCTTCTAGGAAGCTTTTGAGAATATTTCCAAATATGTCAGATACCCAGGTTCTAATACGTTGTATTCTACATTCGTAAAATTCTTAAGGAGACGACAAATACGCTTCACTGCCATAATATGACAGTGAAATGTATTTGTCGTTCCCTTTAAAAAGTTTGCGACATATTAAATAAACAATAATTGTTTAAATAAACAATAATTATTAAATAAACAATAATTATTTAACCTCTAAACCATAAGTTGTATGACATTATTTCATAAAAAGTAAAATTGGAAAATTTTGTGGGATAAATAGGATTAGATTGAAGTTTAAGATATTTAGGATTATTATACATAAAAATGTTAATTCAGAAATAAAAAATCGGTGTACAAATTAATAAATATTTATTTTTAACATAAAATAAAATACCTATATAAAAGTATTTTTGTTATCGAATATGTTTTAATTTGACAAATATCTATAAAAAATATTTTGGATTGTGTTTTTTACTTAGTATTTAATACTTATTACTAATTAGACCTAATTAAGTACCTGCACTTAAGTATAGGTATATACCTTTATACGTAGTTTATGGTATATTTTACTATTATATAGGTAACTGAACTAAATATGCTTAACAGGAGTATTCCTAAATGAACTTTCTATTGCAATTACTTTCTTAACATTCTAAGCATATGTTTAGAGTAGACTAATTTTTACCACTAAAACTTTGCACCTTCTAAGAACCTGCCTATAGGCCAGTAAGAATATTCTTAGGATCATGCTGTATGTCTTTTAAGCATGTTCTTTAGAAGAAATATAGCATGATCCTAAAAATATTCTCACTGGAAGGTTTAAAAAACATTCTTAGAATAAAGTGTGCTATCATGATGCAGGGATGTTGCATATTGTTTTCTATTAAACCTACAGTTTCTGCTTACCCTGATTTACCAAATTTTTTAGGTTTCAGATATAAACGTAGCTGTTGTCGAATACCATCCAAACTTTACAAAAAGTCAAAATGAAAAAAGCTATGAAAAAATTATTAATTCAATTAAACAACCTGTAAGTAATTATAATTTTAAATATTCGTAAAATAATGTATAAGGGTGAATATATTGAGATGTCCCCCCAGTGAAAATGATTATTTTTTATTTTTGGCTGTTTCACTGTTACTCTAAAATGGGGTTTTTGGGAAGCCACCAGGTCTAGTAATAACATAACATAAGTGGTTCTGCACTAATGCAAGAAATTTAAGAAATCATACATTTTGAATGTTAGAGCTTCACGGAGGTTAGGATATCGTATGTTTTTTTTGTACATACATAAAATATTTATAAAAAAAATGTACTTACTGAGATATTACACTTCACGGTGGATAGGTTTTTAAATAGCAAATTAATAAACTTAAACTTTTGAATTATAAAACAGCAACACTCTCATCTGCAAATAAATTCTAACTGACCTTCAGGAATCACATGCATCTATAATGTCGTAAACATAGGTTTTTGCTTATTTAAAATTATTAAAGCGCCATCCGTTGCAATAAATTAAAAGAAAACACAGATTCACGGAGGATAGAATCAATTTTTGTAAAACCTACATAAATGGTTATAAAAATTATTTCTTTATTTTTATTTTTAGTATGCTTTTACTACCTCAGATATTTGAAAATATATAGGTTAACCTAGAAAGAGTAACAGTCACGGAGGATAGGTTTTAGACTTTTAAAACATCGTAAAAAATAATTAATTGCGGTTAAAAATCTGGAAGCAGAGCTGTAATATCTACTTAATTATGAAAGATCAAAACACAATAAAAGTGTAGGTCAAACTCATTTAGTTTTATTAAATATCACGGGGTAACATCATCGGGGGACATTTCGTCAGATTCACCCATAAATGAATTTAATCAAATAGTAAACTCGAATATGACGACATGGTGCGTTCAGGCTGAACGCACAATGTCGTCATAATCCGATTTTTGAAGAAGCACCCATCAATACAAATTACTATTTTAAATATTTTTAGACTGATTTTATAATATTTCCCGAGTCGAGTTTAACACGAGGAGAATATTTAGTGGTGCCCCCTATACATGCTTCACCAAATTGTAGCACAAATAAAAGTGACACTTTAACACATATAGCCTGTTTGGCAAAATCGAAAAATGCCTATGTTGCTATTAACATAGACGAAAGAGTGGACTGCAAGCCAAATGACTCAACTTGTGGACCAAGGGGATTTTTAGGTTATAATACTGATGTCGTATTTGGAAGAAATGGAAGTGTTATTGCAAGGTAACTAAGAAATACACTGAGATACAACAAAAGTTCCAAAACTGGACATACTAGATTTTCCTTATCTGGTTTCCTAGGTGTTTCCTACATTTTTTCTACTAAGAATGTTTCTTGATTCAAAAGATTTGCGCTTTTGAATGAGCTATGTTCCTTAGTCCAAATCAGAAACTATATGTACATAATTAACTAATAAACTAACATAAATATGATTTAAGGGCCATTCTACAAAAGTTGGGCAGCTTTAAATTTGACCTCATTTTGTTTATATAGTTTTCGTAAAAAATTAAACAGTATTTTGTTATTAGACCAGGGTCGATAATTTTTGAAACCAAAAAAAATAACAGTAGGATGAAACCCATTGGAAAAGGAAAAGAATATAATAAAAATGAAAGGAAAAATAAATTACGGGCGATCTGACTTCGGGAAGTGGGAGGGGGGGGGTTTTAAGGGTAAAAAATGGTTTATCTCGATTTCCGCCAAAACTACATGTCCTATGGAAAAAAGTTAAATAGCAAAGTTGTAGGTAATAAAAGGATCTACAACTTTTGTAATTACAATTTTTTTACATAACCTCAAAATTTATGTGAAAAATTCAAAAAACCAAGTTTTTGGTTTTTTATTTTTATCTTTTTCAAAAAAAAAATTTTTTCCACGAAATTTGGTGAAAACTTACCTTTTTATGTCCCAAATACACTGTAATTTATTTGATTTGAAATATTTATTATTTCGCCTTATTTTGACTTAATATCAAAAAAGCACCCTAATTTTCAATCGAAAATTCTCGCGTCAAAATATCAGCTTTTTTCAAAAAGTCGGTGTGCTTTTTGTTTGTTGAAATCTCTACTTTCTGATGGTGTAAAAAAATATACATTACTATGGTAAATGTTCTCAGAAAATGCAAAAAATATTATAATGAATAACGAAAAAAACTCGAATTCGACAATTTATTTTAATCATTATGTACAATTTATTTTAATCATTATGTACAATTTCATCAAAAAAATGTGATTGTTGCAATTTTTTTAGTTAAAAAGTTTATTTATTAAATTCTAATAACATTTATGTCAGAAAATCTCATAAAATATAAAAATACATGTAAATCATACTATTGAATTTAGATACTTCATTCTGATTACGTTATTCATTATAATATTTTTTGTATTTTCTGAGAACATTTACCATAGTAATGTATATATTTTTTTACACCATCAGAAAGTAGAGAGTTCATTGAACAAAAAGCACACCGACTTTTTGAAAAAAGCTAATATTTTGACGCGAGAATTTTCGATTGAAAATTAGGGTGCTTTTTTGATATTAAGTCAAAATAAGGCGAAATAATAATTATATCAAATCAAATAAATTACAGTGTATTTGGGACATAAAAAGGTAAGTTTTCACCAAATTTCGTGGAAAAAAATTTTTTTTTTGAAAAAGATAAAAATAAAAAACCAAAAACTTGGTTTTTTGAATTTTTCACATAAATTTTGAGGTTATGTGAAAAAATTGTAAATACAAAAGTTGTAGATCTTTTTATTACCTACAACTTTGACATTTAACTTTTTTCCATAGGACTTGTAGTTTTGCCGGAAATCGAGATAAACCATTTTTTACCCTTAAAACCCCCCCCTCCCACTTCCCGAACTCAGATCGCCCGTAATTTATTTTTCCTTTAATTTTTATTATATTCCCCTCCTTTTCAAGGCTTCTGCACTGGTCTATATGAGAACATAGATAATATAATAAATATACTGTTCCAGACCGGGCCAGTCACTTTTTCAAACAGTTACTGAAATATCTGCGTTTTCTAAATTTGAATGCAAGGAAAGTGACGAGTATACCAGGGTACTAATTAAATACATAATTAATAGGAAAATTTAAGATTTATTGCAACTTTGAGCATATTATACATTAAATATCTTAAAATCAAATATTACCACACATCAGTGGAGGGTGGTGGATTTTGGGTATACCCATATCTCAATTATTAGATATGGGACCCTCACCAAATTTATATGAGTTTATAATGACATTAAATAAACAAGTTCTGCGCAAGCAGAATTTAAATTGAAGTTTGCGAAAAAAAGATAACCGAAACATCGAACATGGAACTGCCGACACGGTAGATATTGATGAATGGGATACAAATTTCAGAGTATAATTCGGAATTAAGTATTTTACTGATATTTTTTATTAGTGGATGCTACTTATCAACAAATCACATATAGCGTTATATAAATTACAATGAAATATATATACGTAAGAAAATAACTACTCACCACAGTAGTGAAATTTTGACTGGAACTATACGTGCATTCACCACAACTTCGCCGCTTGCATTGTTTTCAAGATGACTGTCGTGCAAAGGGCGGGCTCTGTAGGTAATTTTTTACCAACACTTGAATTAAAACGAGGACTTGACGTTTAAACTTCAATATTTCGCAGGAATTTTGAATTTTAACATTGGACACAGAACTGACGGGTAAAAGTGAGTATAAAGATTGTCAATTTTTAAAAATTGCTATTATTCGAATCTATGATAAAATATGAAAAATACATTATTTAATGTTTTATAGTTTGTAGTGAAATTGAAAAATTTAAGATAAATTGAATATATTTTAAAATAAAATAACTCAAATATTTGATTCAGGAGTTGTGACACGCCAAGGTACTGATGTTTTGAATATTTATTATGTTTTTGTACAGACGTGCTTTTGAAAAAATACATTAAAATTGGGTGGACAAGTTAAAAAAACCTGGATCTTTTGTAATATACTAAAATATTTACAAAAAATATTAAAATACCTACTCTATTGACTGATGACATCAAGTTGTCCAACTTTTGTAGAATGACCCTTAACATCGATTAGAGATTTTTTATTTGTTTTCAAGAGAACTATATTTCTTCCACTAAGAACTTTTTTATCTTTTATGCTAAAACATTGTTTCTTGCCGCTAATAACATAGAGTGTGGTAAAGCTTTGATCTAATATTTATGTGTTACTTGGGATAAGACAAAAATTGTATCGATTCATATATTTTAGATACCGAAAATGGAACCTTTTTGGAGAATTCGACAAAAATATAACCAAAACACCGGACATTATAACAATAGAAACGGATAAAGGAAAATTTGGAATTTTCACATGTTTCGATATACTTTTTCAGACGCCAGCCTTAAATTTGACAAGAAGTGGTGTTAAAAATTTTATTTATCCATCGATGTGGTTTTCTGAACTCCCATTTTTAACAGGTTCATTTATAAATTTTTTTTTTTAGTGGAATTTTTTTAATTTTTTTTATAATTTCAGCTTTACAAGCACAACAGATGTGGTCTTATGAAAACGATGCTTTGCTTCTTTCCTCCGGTGGTAATAATATCGTGGTTGGTAGTGGGGGATCTGGAGTCTTTCTAGGTAAAAAAATGTAGAAAAATTACTTTGGGGGATGACAAAACAAGAAAGTTTTTCCTCCATCATTTTTGCATGTCATGTCATGTCATGTCATGTCATGTCATGTCATGTCATGTCATGTCATGTCATGTCATGTCATGTCATGTCATGCCATGTCATGTCCTTACAGGATGACAACTTATTTGCTGACACCCTGTATAACAAATTTTAGGAAAATATGGAGCCCTTAATCAGACCATAGTTCCAAACATCAAAAAGGAAGAATATTTAATAATTACCACAAAAGTGCCATCCAATAGAACTGCCCTTAAAATAAAGGAGGATACAGTACACGAAACCGATGAAATTGCGAGAAAAATAGATCATTTTTTTATAAAAAGAGATGATTTAAGAGGTAAATACAAAATATAAAACACTAATGCTCTTATAAAACTTCAGGGGTACACTGTTTAAAATATCTGTGATGTGAGGAGTAATCTTAAAATGGTGTCAAAATCCAACACCAAGTGGTGTTAATATAACACCATGAATTATGGTTGAAAATGTTTTATACAGCAAGCACCAAAACGGTGTTTATCTAAAAATATTTGAGAAGTGCACCTACACAGAAAAAAAGGAATAGTTCATTTAACTATATTAATTTAGTTGACCCATAAGTATTTATTTAAATCAACTGTGGGAAGGTTAATATAGACAAAGATTAGTTTGACTGTACTAAACCAGGTAGTTATTTTTTTAAATTGGTTAAATTAACCCAGAAAACTTTAGTGAAACCAACCCGCTGTATGGTTCAGTTTACTAAATATGTTGTTTGTAAAATAAGAGTTACTTCAACCTAAAGCACTCTGTTAAAACGATTAAAACAATTTGCCGTGCATTCATGGTTGCATAGTGAGTACCGATCGCGGCAAAGGCGGTGTGGATCACTTGATGTTCTCAAATCTCGCCTCTGTTGACTTACATGAAGAATATATAAACTCAGGTGATCCTTTGCTTTGGTGTGACACTACAAGTTGTTCGATACTAAAGAGACCTTAAATAGGATGAAACATTTTAAGTATTAAGTATTTTAAGTTGGTGGAACGCACTAAAAACATTATCTCTAGCGAGTTGAAGGTTCAATTTTCTGGAATAATACCACTGGTAATATACTTGTAATGCGTCAAGGAACTTCCTGTTTCCTTTTTTTCCTTTTTTACTGTGTAGTATGATTTAATTTGACCAAAAACACATTATATTTAACACTGAAAAGGAGTTCAATTTACACCAGGTAAAATTTATTTAAAACTGTGTGAAAGTTAAAAATCGATATAGACCATGTATACTAGGGTGGAGTGAATTTTATTAAATTTATTAATTGATTTTTCCTATATTATTAATTGTTGACTAAAGGCGTAAAATGAATAAATATCGAAAAAATATTCCAATTTTTTAATATCTTGAGGTGGCGCATCAGTCTCGAAGTTTTGAAAATTCTAAAAAAATATTACTTTAATCAAAGTAATAAAAATAGCATTATTTATAAATAAAAAATTTATTTTAGTAAAATTAACGTAAAACGTAAACATATTTAATAGTAAATCATATGCTTTAAGTAACTTCAGGAGTGTTTATTGGTAGAAATGAGATCTTCTTTTTCGCGAAAATACTGACATTTGGTATAAAAATTTGGTAATTATTTTCTGACTTTAATTCTTGTTCTGATGAAACCATCTCTTGCTTCCGATCCACAAACCGAGTCTGAAGATTCAGTATACTGGTTATAACCAGTTTTACACAGCGTTCCACTGCTTGGGTGTGACACTGAAATTTTTGGAAGTATAGGAAATGGTCACCCGAAGAAATCATATCGGTAATTTCTGTCATCGTATTTCATAGTCATAGGTGGTTCAGTTACCTTTTCTGTCGCCCAGTGAATTAACTCGTAAAAATGTAATGCTTCAGTATTTAGTTGTGGAAGCTTTAATTCCCGTAATCTCGAACATTTTGATTCTTTTCTCGCCTTTAATATTTTCGGCAATGCTAGTTCTCTGATCGATAGATATATTGTAGGTAACATAGCTAGTAATAGGTTTTCGGGATAAATATTAGCTATAGCTTACAAAGATCCAGGCAAGATAGCACATTCCCTATGGCTGACGTGGGCTAATAGGATTATTCGTTTATATGGGGGGACAGCAAATCCATCGGAAAACCTAAAAGAATTGGCTACTTTTATCATGAAAGTGTATGCCCCAACGTGGTTTTACATCAACACCAAGCCTACGTGCAAACATGGTCCTATTCACATATTTAATATGACTAAAAGAGCATTACACCTCCAGAAAAACTTGAAGGCCTTATAACTATAGTTATAAAGAATATTCAGCGAAATATTTATCCCGAAAACCTATTACTTGCTATGTTACCTACAATATATCTATCGAACTAGCATTGCCGAAAATATTAAAGGCGAGAAAAGAATCAAAATGTTCGAGATTACGGGAATTAAAGCTTCCACAACTAAATACTGAAGCATTACGTTTGTACCAGTTAATTCACTGGGCGACAGAAAAGGTGACTGAACCACTAGCGTCTAGAGGCACCGAATTATCTTGGCTCCCTGGCTCCTAGACATGCGCGTTTTATAGAAATGTACTCAAACTCAACAACACAACCCAACCGACCCCGCCCCATTGGACCCCCCCCCCCCGCCCCATTGAGCAAAAAACCCAACTAAAATGGGCAAATTTATGTAATTAAAAAGTGTTTTATTTTTATCGTAACATAAATTTGCCCATTTTAGTTGGGTTTTTCGCTCAATGGGGCGGGGACGGTTGGGTTGTGTTGTTGAGTTTAAGTACATTTCTATAAAACGCGCATGTCTAGGAGCCAGGGAGCCAAGATAATTCGGTGCCTCTAGACGCTAGTGACTGAACCACCTATGACTATGAAATACGATGACAGAAATTACCGATATGATTTCTTCGGGTGACCATTTTCTATACTTCCAAAAATTTCAGTGTCACACCCAAGCAGTGGAACGCTGTGTAAAACTGGTTATAACCAGTATACTGAATCTTCAGTCTCGGTTTGTGGATCGGAAGCAAGAAATGGTTTCATCAGAACAAAAATTAAAGTCAGAAAATAATTACCAAATTTTGATACCAAATGTCAGTATTTTCGCGAAAAAGAAGATCTCATTTTTACCAATAAACACTCCTGAAGTTACTTAAAGCATATGATTTACTATTAAATATGTTAACGTTTCACGTTAATTTTACTAAAATAAACTTTTTATTTATAAATAATGCTATTTTTATTACTTTGATTAAAGTAATATTTTTTTAGAATTTTCAAAACTTCGAGACAGATGCGCCACCTCAAGATATTAAAAAATTGGAATATTTTTTCGATATTTATTCATTTTACGCCTTTAGTCAACAATTAATAATATAGGAAAAATCAATTAATAAATTTAAAAAAATTCACTCCACCCTAATGTATACACCATATATGGTGTTAATTTGGTGTTAAAATGGTCATGAAATTTTGAACAGTGTAGAATTAGTTTTAATGAAGTCGTCAGTTATGGATTATAACTCACGTTCATATTTAAAGTAGTATTCTATTCATTTATTACTATTACAAGCAGAATTCAAATTGATATTGAAATTAAAGGAAAACGCTAACGGTTTATTCGAATTTGAAGTCGTTGTAAAATTCGTTGGTTCATTGGAACCAGACGCTTCCATATCGGTACAGCTGCTGATAGTGCTGGAAGACGCCGACGCATTAGAACCTTGTATTTTTTCTGCTATTTGTATTTTGTTATGCACCGATTCTTCTAGGTATCCTTCTGCTACCGTCGAGGACTTCCATCCTCCGTGACGCTTCAAAGTAGTCATGTTAGCCCCTGCATTGGCCAAAAGTCGCCGAAGACCTTCTCAGGCAGTGACCGGTGTAGAGCGCTGGTTCCTCCAATTTCAAAAACATTGCAATTCTTGAAGGTATCTTCGACAACGTATTTATTCGCACACACTGGCTGATACACCTCCCATTTTTGTAAAAAAAACAAAAAAGCGGCCAAAACTAGTATTCTTTGTCTCAAAGACATGTATTTTTTACACAAATTGATCGGGTTGACTGGATATCCTTCTTCAAGTATGGTGAAACTTCTCAATTTCTTTATTTTAGTGTCTAGAAAAACTACGTGAAAATATTTCCCTATGTCTTGAATATTTTCTATTTTCGAATTGACCAATTCATCGCATCTACAACCACCGCTAATACCCATTATCAAAGCCACTTTCATCAACAGGTACTCGTCGTCGGGAGCTTCGTTCAAAAACTTCTCTATTTCAGGTCGTTCTAATGTCTTGGACTTCTTTGGTTTGTATCCCTGTGATTTGCTTTCCAAAAAGCTCGTTAGTTTGCCATATTTCGAAATGTCGATTTTTTTATAAAGGTGAATAGTCGAGCGAAGCATCGAGTATTTGGTCCTTAGCGACGACGGGGCTAATTTTTTTGCAAATGTAAAAAATAAGCCAATAGAACAATTTCATCGATACCTTTTATCTTCCGTGAATTCATCCAAGACTCAAACATTTTGAACTCTCTGTCGTAGGCATCTCGGGGCTTTTCTGGCAAAATCTGCATCGCTGCTTCTTCCGCTTCCGCAAGGATATCCTCAGGAACGTAAGTTTCATCGGTTTCCTCCATTTTCTATACGTTTTTTTTTTTTCAAAAAAGCTTTCCTTTTCTGCAGAGAAAACTGAGAAGAGTCAAAATTTATTTAAACATTTGCTAACAATGTATCATGCCCGTGGCAACCAAACAAACAACCTACTTTGACCAAAATGTAAAAAAGTCACTGTCAAGTCATTTTGATATTTATAGGGTACTGAGACGCAAGTAGCTTTGATTTGGTCACAAAGCTTTTTGTAGAGAACACCACTACATTTTTTCTGTTGTAGGATATACAAGTGAGCTTCTAAACATGACAACAGGATCAGTTTCTAGGGAGATTTGTCACGGCAATAATCCAAAACTTTGCTGTAAATTTAATGTAACTTTAAAATTTAATAAAACTCGTAACGATATGGACAGTTACTTGTACAGGTTTGTTGCCTATTCAGGTGTGAAAACATTTGTTTATAATGATGGAGGAGTGGAAGTTTGTGGTATTATACCATGCACCAATAGCAGCCTTGATTCTTGCACACGAAAGTGAGTATTTGTATAACGCAAAATTTTCCAATGTTTATATTTTTGTCTTCCAGATTTTCGTCTTACGACAACATTACCTGGCCCACTACATTCGAAAGTATCAGCATCACTGCCAACTTTACAAACGATGAAACTGCCAAAATGCAGTACCCCAACACCTTGCTGAGTTCTTTAAGATCCATTCCACCGTCTCAAACCCGTTGGGAAAAGAGAATTCTCGGAAATCAAGTAGAAAGAAGTTTTCGTTTGGTGAAACCTCAAACCAGGCTTCTGACTTTTGCAATTTATGGAAGGGATTGCAGTAGGGACAATTTTTTTAGCAATCCTGGAGTTTCTATAAACGAGAATAAAGTTTACTTTTTGCTTGTAGCCTGTAGCGTCTTTGCCTTGCTATGCAGATTTTAAATAATTATTTCATAGTGTTTTATTCAAAGTATTAAGCCCAATAAACAATTTGTACTACTTATGGTGACGATAAATTATATAAAGGTTATATAAGAGTTGTGTCTTTAATTTTTTTAAATAAAAATTGTGAGTTATTAATTATTTATGTACTATGCTCCACACCTCAAAGTCCCACCACGTGACCACGTACGCAACGCAGTCTTTTGAAAATTTGGCATTTAAGGCTTTTTAGGTTATGTATCTGTCAAAGTATAGTCAATGAAAGAAATAATATTTATAGTGGTACCGCTTATGTTTAAGCGTTATAAGTTAATATATCTTTAAAGTATCACAATAACAATGGTTCAAGAATTTATGTTAGGAATATAAATACTGCATTTAATGAAATTCCAAAGTGTAAGGTGCAATATAAGTGATATTTTTGTGCATTGGGTCTATATTTCTCCATAATATAGTTTTAACTAAACAGCATTTATTTTAAAAAATCTAACTTCTCTATTATGAAATAAGAATATCTGTATCAAAGGTAGGTTAATGTATTTTAAGGTTAGAAAAATCTATTTTGACCAAAATAAATAAGTGGATTATTTGGAAAAGTGTGTTAATATGGTCATAAATAAATATAGGTATACTAAATAATTGTTGAATATGGTTCAAATTAAATTGAAGCTTTTATACTTCTAATGACAAAACTTGTGCATACCTCTCGGCATACCTACTTTAAGTTAGATTATAAGAAAACAAACAATTTTTAGAGAAACTTCGATTTGAAAATGTTTAATACTCCTATGACATGTGATTTATTAAAATTTTTAAAGTTATAATGATTTTTCAATGTAGATCAAGTTCAGTCGAAGCTTTTTAACTATTTGTATTGACAAAACTTTATGTAGGTACACTTTAAGCTGGATAAGAAAAACTACCACATTTTTAAATACCATATTAAACAGTCTTTTAAATAATCCAAAATACTTATTTATTTTGGTCAAAATAAATTTTTCTAACCTTAAAATTACAAAATTAGATGATAGTTTTGTTATAATATATTACTACCTTTAAAACAGATATTCTTATTTCATAATAAAGAAGCTAGATTTTTTTTAATAAATGCTGTTTAGTTAAAATTATTTTATGGAGAAAACCAGATATTTGGACCAAATGCACAAAAATTTTACTTATTTGGCACCATACACTTTAGAATTTCATTAAATGCAGTATTTATATTCTTAAATTCTTAAACCATCCATTGTTATTGTAATGTTATAAAGATTTGTACATTTTTAACGCCTAAACATAATATTATTTCTTTCGTTGACTATACTTTGACAGATACATAACCTGAAAAGCCTTAAATTCCAAATTTTCAAAAGACTGCGTTCAGTACGTGGTCACGTGGTGGGACTTTGAGGTGTGGAGCATAGTACGTCTTTACTCAACGCCACTAGCTTTACTCGGGCGTATAGCTCTGCCCGGCGACAAAATGCCGGGAGGGGTCGTCCACTATTTCGTCATGTAAATTGATAAAATAAAATTAAAGAAGTTGAGGAGGCGCCAAGTAATCGCATGCTAAGCGAGTGCCCTTCTATCTGAGCATCATCTATTATCATGATTTATTTTATTGATCCCGATATCATGTGGATAATTAAGTGGTATTTCCTATAATTTTGTTATCTCATAATCCATTGTGGTTTTTCCAATAAACCAAATTATTGCTAACAATACCAAATACAATTTATCATAATAGGTTTTTGGAATGGTAAAATGTTATAATAAATTGTTGTGTCAAAAAATTAAAACTAAACACAACCTATTTAAAAAAAATTATTAAACTGTATGTTATAAAAATTATATGACTCAATAGATTATTAATTAGTTCTTGATGAATGATCGATTGAAGATATTTAACATCCTTCACAGTGGTACATTTTGTGTACACAGGTCCCTGGCAGTTTCATACATTTTAGCACAAATTCTGCACACCCCTGAAAAAATAAAGACGTGTTTAAAAATATTAAACAAAAAATTGTTTGATTAAAACTATGAATTTCCATCTTGTTTATGCAAAAAATTAAAAAAAGATGATATGAAGATATAAATTGTTTTTCTAATGGCGTGTGGAAAGTTCCGCACGCTCGACAGTGTGGAAAGTAGCAACTTTCCACACGCGTGTAGCAAAAATATTGTAGGTACCTATTGTACGGCTGTCGCGTGCGGAAAAGTAGCACTTTCCGCACTAGTTAGATAAATCATATAATGATAAATGATAAATCATATAATATTGTGAGTGTAAATTCTTTTTTATTACCTATAGGTAATTACATAGATGTAAGATTAAAAAAATGGCTTAGCCTAAATAAATATTTTTATCATTTTATCAGGATCAGTAATTCCCAAATAAAAACAGTGTTTTAAACACTAAACTAATATTAGTACAAGATAAAGGATAAATTCTAGGAAAAATAAAAAAAATTTCATGTTCTTTAAAAATATTGAAAACAAATTTACAATGAGTTTAACAAATAAAATAAATTTTAATATAAAACAATTTATGATATAGATCTACACTTAAGTATTATTATTTTTTAAATAGACCAGTAATAAGTAAGTATCTACTTATGTGAAAAAAATTTCAAGTTTATTTGTCTTTTTTGGGTTGTTTATATAACACTGCAAAAAAATAATAAAAACTTGATTGATTTCTGTTGTTAGTTTTGTAATTTTCTTCACTGAAATGAAGAAATTTCATTTTTTTTAATAATTTTTTATTTTAAAACGTATCGATTTAAAATTAAGACAAAATGTAAATCTTACTAATGACAATTAATCCATACAAAAAATTGTTTAAATTTTAACGTACAGGGGGCGCTGGTGATAATTTAGTTTAAAATTTAACAATTTTTAAAGGGTAAATAATCGAAGAAGCAACTTTGTATTATAAATTTGAGTATAACACATTAAAGTATTGATATTTGACTATTACCTACTTGATATATTAACTTTTTTATGCAAATGGTGTTTCTGTGGCCAGGATCAGTTTTGAATTAGCATGCTATATAATATATTCTCACCGATTCATTTATAACACAAATAATTTGAAATTACACATGCGACACTATTATTTTTACACTTTAATCTTCATGAAATAAATAGTTTTGAACCAGAAAATATACCCGCAATTTTATTAATCACCTTATTTATTTTTAGAGTTAATTTGCAAATATACTTACATCACAACTACCGCAGCATATTTCACTGAATGTCAGTATTACAACGTAGATAGGCGACATTAAAAAGGCTATTGGGAAAGCCACAGTCAAAAGCAAAATCAACCAAACTGGGAAACATAAACAACCACTGGCCATTTTGTGATGTTTTTTTTTATGTTTTAACTACTTGGTTTTAGTTTTGTTTAACTAAATAAATAAGTCAACTGCGAAGGCTACAACCTGACTAATAACTGAGTGAGAATTTTATTTGAATACGTATGGCTTCGCCCAAAAATGTATTATGCATATTTGTGGTATACCTATATCTACTGATAACTTTTTTAACGATTTTATTTAGCTTTGCTGCTATAGCATAGATATACCTGGCATTTAATTTAAACTTTGGTAGGTAATTGGCTAGGTACTAATTATATTCAGAAAAAAAAACAAAACAGTAAAGTGCTTATATTTTTAAAACTATTAATTTTGCTTAAAATAAATAAATTCTGTGAAATGTTAACAAAGGCCTATAGTGAGTCTTCTATAAGTAAAACAAGAGTTTACAAGTGGTATAAGAGTTTCCAAGATGGCCGTGAAGACGTTGAAGATGACGAACGCCCCGAACGCACAAGCACATTAACAACCGATAAAAACATGGAAAAAGTGTAAGAAATGGTTATAAACCATCAGAGAAGTCGCTGATGATGTTGGTATATCGATTGGCTCATCCCATGAAATTTTTCAAATGTTTTGGGTATGAAACGCGTGGCAGAAAAATTTGTTCTAAAATTGTTAAATTTTGAACAAAATTTTTGGCCAAAAACAATACTGTAATGATGCCCCAGCCTCCATATTCGCCAGACATGCCTCTGTCTGACTTTTTCCTATTCCAAAAAATAAAGAGAACCTTAAAGGGCCGTCGTTTTGCAAGCATAGATGACATTAAAAGCGCATCGCTGAAAGAACTAAAGGCTATCCCAAAGATCGAGTTTTAGAAGTGTTTCGAGTATTGGAAGAAGAGCTGGCACATGTGCATAATATCCAATGGGGACTATTTTGAAGGCGACAACATTAATGTATACGAATAAATAATTATTTGTTTCAAAAAACGAAAATTCCCGATATTTTCTGAACACACCTCGTATGCTTTTGTAGCATGACAATTTTTCTTTCTTAGAAAGTTCCTAAGCTTCTTAAGAGATGCAGATTTCTTGTTAAAATTCCATATTTTTGAGCTAAAAAACTTTTTCTTCATTTAAAAGAGAAATATCTTCCTAAGAAATATTTTGTATTAAAATTTGGATAGCGATGATAAGGCAATGTAAACCATTTTTTAAAATTATTTGCAATGCGTTACGACTTCCGGTTAAACCGGAAGTGATTTCAGCTTTGTTTTTTCAAATGGAACCATATAAATATTATTGAATTTTTAAATTCTACGTAAAATTTTAGAAAAACTGAAATTTGATTAGTTTTTTTAGTTTTTTTAACAGTTTTTGAGATATTTCAACAGATGAATGGTCTTACTAATACGTCTGTATTACCACTAATTGTAATGTTAAAAAGTTAATTTTTGGTGTACCTACCTGTTAACTAATAATTAATAGAATTTAAAATTTATTTTAAAAGTTGACCCCCACATCAAACGTTCCTATTGTTCTTCTCTAAAACTTTTCCGCACTCGCCAAATGTATAAAACATGTTTAGAATATCTTGATTAGTGCAATTAGTATCACCCATTGTAACACAATTGTCAAAGACGTTGACATTGACATTACTTCATTAATACGAAATAAAAGACAATCCAACGCACAGGACTAATGTTAGAAATTAAAAAATAAGCAGTTTTTTACATTTTTTGTAATATCTCTGTGAATATTTATTTTACGTATAGGGAATGTTGCAGCATTTCAATAAAAAAACATTATTTTGT